GCACTGTGCGGGGCCCCAGGTCGTGTCAGTACCCGCACTGTGTGGGGCCCCAGGTCATGTCACCCTCACTGTGTGGGGCCCCAGGTCATGTCACCCGCACTGTGTGGGACCCCAGGTCATGTCACCCGCACTGTGCAGGGCCCCAGGTCATGTCAGTACCCGCACTGTGCGGGGCCCCAGGTCAGGTCAGTACCCGCACTGTGCGGGCCCCAGGTCATGTCAGTACCCGCACTGTGCGGGGCCCCAGGTCATGTCAGTACCCGCACTGTGCAGGGCCCCAGGTCATGTCACCCTCACTGTGTGGGGCCCCAGGTCATGTCACCCGCACTGTGCAGGGCCCCAGGTCATGTCAGTACCCGCACTGTGCGGGGCCCCAGGTCATGTCAGTACCTGCACTGTGCGGGCCCCAGGTCATGTCACCTGCACTGTGCGGGCCCCAGGTCGTGTCATCTGCACTGTGTGGGCCCCAGGTCATGTCACCCGCACTGTGTGGGACCCCAGGTCATGTCAGTACCTGCACTGTGCGGGGCCCAGGTCATGTCACCTGCACTGTGCGGGGCCCAGGTCATGTCAGTACCTGCACTGTGCGGGCCCCAGGTCGTGTCACCTGCACTGTGCGGGGCCCAGGTCATGTCACCTGCACTGTGCGGGCCCCAGGTCGTGTCACCTGCACTGTGTGGGCCCCAGGTCATGTCACCCGCACTGTGTGGGACCCCAGGTCATGTCACCTGCACTGTGTGGGACTCCAGGTCATGTCACCTGCACTGTGCGGGCCCCAGGTCATGTCACCTGCACTGTGTGGGACTCCAGGTCATGTCACCTGCACTGTGCGGGCCCCAGGTCAGGTCACCTGCACTGTGTGGGACTCCAGGTCGTGTCACCTGCACTGTGTGGGCCCCAGGTCAGGTCACCTGCACTGTGCGGGACTCCAGGTCATGTCACCTGCACTGTGTGGGACTCCAGGTCATGTCACCTGCACTGTGTGGGACCCAGGTCATGTCACCTGCACCCTGCGGGCCCCAGGTCATGTCACCCGCACTGTGTGGGGCCCCAGGTCATGTCAGTACCCGCACTGTGTGAGCCCCAGGTAGTACAGGTTGTGTCACCCACACTGTGCGGGCCCCAGGTAGTGCAGGTTGTGTCATCTGCACTGTGCGGGCCCCAGGTCATGTCACCTGCACTGTGCGGGACTCCAGGTCGTGTCACCCGCACTGAGACGCTGCCGTGCCTGCTGCTTGTCTAACTTGCTTGGGCCAGCAAGGCCAGGGAGAGCGTGGTGTGACCAGGCCCACAGGGCTCCCGTCCCCACCCGACTGCCCCCGGCCCAGCTCCCGGCACGCGGTCGGGCAAGAGGAGGCCTCAGGTGCACACATGGACACGCCTCCTCACAGGACATGGGCGGAGGTGGGGACCTGCCCACGGGGACCCTGGGGACCCTGCGGCCCCTCCTAGCTCAGTACACTGTGGGCGGGGCTGCGGGCAGCGGGGCCCACCGAGTGCGGGTGCAAGAGGCCTCCACGGCGTTGATGAGCAGGGAGCGGAAGCCCCCGCTCTCCAGCACGTGCAGGGCGTGGATGGTGGCCCCGCCGGGGGAGCACACGTTGTCCTTGAGCTGGCCTGGGTGCTGTTCTGAGTCCAGCAGCATCTTGGCTGCCCCCTGCAGCCAGAGACGGGGTGGGAGGGTGGGTGAGGGGGGGGCTGTGACAGCTACAAGGCCCCGCCCCCAGCCGTAGAACCTGCCAACTCCCCCCCTCCTGGGGCCGGCCAGGACCGACCCCCACCGCACTGACCAGGAGGGCCTGCGCCCCAAGGCGGACGGCCAGGCGTCGCGGGAGCCCCATCTTCACACCGCCATCAGCCAGGGCGTCCAGGGCTGTGAAGGCCTGTGGAGGAGGTGCCCTGAGCCACCGTCCCAGCCTCTCCCCCTTCCCCTGGGCCGGGAGCAGGCAGGAGGTGGAGGGGGCAGTGGCCGGCCCTCAGCCTTGGAGCCCGGCCCGCCCAGGGCCCTGAAGTCCTGGGACTGGCCCCGCCCACACCCCGCCCCCAGCCTCACGTAGGCGGGGCCGCTGCCGCTGAGCCCGGTGACGGCGTCAATCAAGTCCTCCTCCACCTCCGTGCAGAAGCCCACGCTGCCCAGGAGCTGCTCCAGGAGCCGGCCGTCCTCCACCTGGGCGTGGGTGCCCGTGGCGTACACGGTCACCCCCTCTCGCACCAGCACGGGCGTGTTGGTCATGCAGCGGACGACCCTGGGGGCCGGCCGGAACACCCGCAGCTTCTGGAGGAAGAATCAGCCCATTCCGGAGGGGGCAGGGGCTCCCGACGCCTGGGCGCGCCCCGCCCCCTGCGCGCCCACCTTCTCCACGGAGCTGATGGTGACGCCCGCGGCGCAGGACACCACGATGTGCCTGTCCTCGATGTGGGGGCCAACCTCGTCCAGGATGAAGGGGATGATGTGCGGTTTCACGGCCAGGAAGAGCACGTCGCTGTGCCGCACCGTCTCCCTGTTGTGGGGTGTCAGGCTCACCCCCATCTTCTGCAGGAGCACCGGGGCTGTCTGGCCTCGCCTTGGCCCCCCCCCCGCCCCAAGCCTGGTGCAGAAGCTGGGGTGTGGAGTGGAGCGTGGCTGGGCGGCCCGGGCATGGTGCCGGACGCCCCTCAACAGCCCCACCCACCCAGGACCGTGCAGACGTCCTGCTCTAAAATGTGTCCCTTTCACAGGCCACAGCTGGGGCCCTGCCCCCCTGGGCTGCAGCCCTCAGGCACAGCTGGGGAGGGACGCCCGGACCCTGGCACCTGAAACCCAGCATAGCAACCTGCAGCTGGGGTCAGCCCCCGCTGCGGCCTCCGGGCTGTGGCCCCACAGGCACCACTCAAACTTCAGCCCCAGCAAAGACACACCCTCCCGTCAGCAGGACCCCTGACCACCCCCGGCTGCCGAGCAGGAGGGAGGCCCAGGGTCCCCTCAGCAGAGCCCCTACCTGGCCCCGGGCCGTCAGGGCAGGCCTGAAGGACCCACTGTCTGTCCCCCACCTACCCTGAGGGCAGAAACCGTGGCCAGGTCCATGTCTGGGGAGCTGGCCATTATCTTGTGAGCAGCCAGGACGCCTGCGGGGGACAGAGTTCCTCAAGACCAATTCCGCCTCCCCCCACCCCATCTCCAGGAAGGAGAGGGAAGAGACGGCAACGCCTGCCCAGCCCGGACCTGGGGCCCCTTCCGCCAGTCCTGCGCCTGGGCCTACCTGCTGTCGTGAAGCCCTTGGCCAGCGCGAAGGCCAGCTGGCCAGCCCCAATGAAGCCCACGCTCATGGTGTCTGCGGCCGCGCGACCACCCTCCCAGCTGGCACAGGCTGTTTAGAGGCAGCTGCGGGAGGAGACGGGGACCGACAAGGACGGAGAGCAAGGAGATGGACAGACAGCGCTGGGCCTGGCCGCTCCTCCGGCGGGGGCGCCCCTGCCCGCCCCCCGCTGCTCAGACGTCCCCAGATGCTGGACCACCGCCCCGGCCCCGAGGTGGGTCCCCGCTCTGCTGCCCAGGGTCCCGAACCTCCTGGAAGGCAAGCGGCCGGGAAGAGGGAGGCAGCCCCGCCGGAACCCCCCACCCCGCCCGCAGCCGAGCAAGACCCCAGCTCCACCACCTGCGCGCTCTGTCCCGGGCAGCGCCGCGCCCGCCACGCGGCACCCACAGGCCCCGCCTCCCCAGGGCCCGCCCTCCCCAGGATCAGCCAATCGTCGGTGCCGCCGCGGCGCGCCGGCCAATTGGGAGGCGCGGCCGGCCCACGCGGCGGTTGCATCATTCCCCGGCAGGCGGGGTCCTCCGTTCCCAGCGCGCGTCCAGCCCGCAGCCCCGCGCCTGTCCCGGGCGCCGGTGGACGCCTCCGGGCGCCTGTCCTCCGTCGGCTCCCTCGGGCGCAGCGCCCCGTGCTCTTGGGGCGTTTCCGAGCCGGGCGCTCGGCAGGGAGAACGGGGCGCGGGTCGGCTCCCCGGGGCGGTCTGGAGGCGGTTCCGCGGCAAGGTGGGGGCGAGAAGCCAGGGCCCTGGACGAGCCTCGCGCCCGGTGGCTTTTCCGTTCTGCGTCCGGAGCTGACCAGCGGCTGCTCCAGACGCGGACTGGACGGGGCGGGCCTGCGGCGGTCCCCTCACCTGGCTCCCTTCTCCTTTCTTGGCCCCCGACGACCGCTGCCGACGCGGGGAGGTGGCCCCGTGGGCACCGCGGCCGCCCGTTCGTTCAGTCGTCCTCCACGGTCAGTGCGCGAACCCACAGCTGAAGCCTGGAAGTTCCACTACACTTTTTTTTTTTTTTAAACACTCATTTATTTGTATTTGAAAGGCAGAGTTAGAGAGGGGGAGAGATTGGTCTACTCTTGCTCTTAGCCAAAAGGTAGAAAAAGGATGAGAGAGAGATCTTTCATTTGCTGGTTCACTCCCCAAGTGGCCACAACAGCTGGGACTGGGCCAGGCAGCCACCAGGAGCCTACAACTCCACTCAGGTCTCCCACGTGGGCACCACTGCTCTCCGAGGTGCACCTGCAGGGAGCTGGACTGGGGACAGAGCAGCCACAGCCAGGATTCTGACCCATGGCTGCACGGGATGTCGGCATCCCAGGCCCCAGCTCGCCCCCCTGTGCCACAGCACCAACCCCTCTGCTGCACTCTGAGGACAGAACTCCCTACCTGGGTGACTTTTGTCCCGGTGGTAACAAGCAACACCTCTGCTAACCAGCTGAGCCAGCGAGGGTGGCCTGGCCCCAGGGTGAGCCTCCTGCCTGAGCTCCCCAGCCCGGGGCCCCTTCCCCTGTGCTCTGCCAGGGCCCTGAGGTCAGGCAGGTGGTGACGGGTGGCTTGGTTCAGAGTTTTGTTTTGTTTTTTAAGATTGATTTTTTTATTTGAAAGGCAGAGTTACAGAGAGGCAGAGAGAGAGACAGAGAGAGAGAGGTCTTCCATCCGCTGGTTTACTCCCCAAATGGCCACAACGGCTGGAGCTGAGCCTATCAGGAGCCAGGAGCTTCTTCCAGGTCTCCCACGTGGGTGCAGGGGCCCAAGGACTTGGGCCATCCTCCACTGCTTTCCCAGGCCACAGCAGAGAGCTGGATCGGAAGTGGAGCAGCCGGGACTCGAACAAGCAACCATATGGGATGCCAGCACTGCAGGCGGCGGCTTTACCCGCTGCACCATAGCGCCAGCCTCTGTTTCAGAGTTTTGGCCAGCGAAGGACAGAAGGAGGCAGGGTCCCCTTTGAGAGCCGCACAGGCCTCCCGTGAGCCAGCAAGGGCAGGGTGTGGCTTCTTTGCCGCCTGGTGTCGTGCCCTTCCTGCCATCATCCGGGACTCAGCACCTGCCTGCCCCCCCAACCCCTGCAGGTCTACCGTGGACCCTAGAGCACCTGCCACTTCCAGTGGCTGACGGGGGTCACTGGTTTGCCCCACCCTGTGTGCCTGCCCCAGTGGCTGGCAGGGGTCACTCCCCTTGCCCTGCACAGCCTGGCTTGGAGCGCTCAGAGCCCTTTGCCCAGCCCCAAGCTTGGGGTCCCTGGAGACCCGAGTGGGCGTGGCAAGGGTTGAGGGCCTCTCAGGCAGAAGGCCCACCTGGCTGAGCCACTCTGACTCTCACCCACCGAGAGAGAGGACACTCCCCACCCCTTCCTCAGGACACAAGGCTCAGGCCCCCCCCCCCGCCCTGCCCCGGAGCCGGCACGCCACTGGCCACTTCCTCCCTCGGCCAGGCCGTATTCCAGGCCAGGAGGTGCAGGTGGCACAGCCCGCTTGGCGGAGACTGCGTAGTTAGAGCCAGGTGCAAGTGAGCATTGGCCTTTATTTCCTGCTCAGGGGCCAGCTGATGGGTTGAGGAGCTACGGAGCTGCGGCCCACCCACCTGGGGCTCTGGGTGGACACAGGCCGGCTCTGGGCTGGGCCGGGCTGGGTTCTTGCGCTGGAGCAGGCGGCTGGAGCGCGGAGGATGATGGCTCTGGTGGACACGTGGGAGGCGGCTGGTGCCCAGGGTGTGTGTCTCGGTGGCTCGCTGCTCCCCGAGCCAGGCCACCCTGAGCCCGCAGCAGGCGCGTGGTGGAACCTCTGTGTCGGCGGGCGCTCCGAGTCGGGGTGGGAGCCCAGCTCCTCCTTGGACGCCGTGTCTCGTGGGACCCTGCTGGCCGTGGTGCCATCTCTAGCCACCGCACACACCGCGTGCTTCTAATGTGTGCAGCCACAGGGGCGCTCCCTGGAGGTGGTAAGCCCTTCCGTGAGCTGGCACAGCCCCCGGGGCAGGGCCCTGTGCCGCTGGAAGACCCTGCAGGGACGGCCCTGGAGCTGGGATTCCCACACTCCCCCTCCCCCCGCTGGCTGGCCCCTTGACACCCCTGGAGACCCCAGCCCGAGTGGCATCTCCAGACAGGCACGGGCATCCCAGGCCATTCCCTAATCCTCAGCCTCGGTGTCTCCATCGGCAAGGTGGACACAGTGGCACCTGCTTCACAGGTGTCCCCTCATCACAGTGACCAGCATGCAGCCCAGAGAGGGCAGGAGAAGGAGAGATGGAGAAGGATGCACGTGGGGCTGGGGCAGAGATAGAGGTGGACGTGGAGGCCCTGGAGCCGCCTGAGGGGAGGCGCCTCCATGCAGCCCCGCGCAAGGCCCCCTCTGTCCCTGCCCGAGCCCAGCTGCAGAGCAACGGCCTCGCCCCTGAGCCCCGCCCCCTCCCCTGCTTGCTCCTGCCATGTTGGTTCACCCGGTCACCCCTCCAGGGCCTGCAGCCCCTGGCCGGGCAGCGGAGCTGGGCAGGTGGCACTTGCCAGGCTACAGAGTGGGCACGAAGCGGATCCTCTGGGAGTAGGCGAGGTCGGCGATGTAGAGCAGCAGGTTGACGTAGGTGAAGATGGCCACCACCAGCTGGCTGTCCCACGGGCAGCTGCCCCGAGGGCAGTCCCTGGGCCGCCCCGGCTCACCATACTTGGGGTCGAAGCAGAAGACGGGCCAGATCACAGCAGCACTGAGGTACAGCAGCACGGCCAGGAAGGTGTAGACCACGACCAGGCGGTCGAAGGGGCAGCCCAGGCCGCCCGTGAGACCCGTCACGCTCAGCACCACCACAGCCACCGTAGCCAGGAAGCACAGGCTGTAGACGGCCACGCACCACTGGGTGGCCACGTAGCGCCCGTAGTGGGTGTCGTGGACCAGCGCCCCAAAAATGATGCAGGCCACAAAGGCCTGGACGATCTTGAGGAGCCCCGACACCGTGGCCATGTAGCTGGCCACCTGGCCAGGCCGGGCCCGCGTCAGGGCCACCTCCGCAGCATAGGCCAGGAAGAGGAGCCCGGCGAAGACACTGGCTGCCAGCCGGAAGTCCCTGGCCATGCAGCCGGCGGGCTCGGGCGGGCACTCCAGCCGGGTGAAGTACAGCGGGTACAGGACGGCAGCCGTGGCGCTCAGCAGTGTGGCCAGCATGGCGAAGGCCGCCGTGAAGTTGCCCCAGGAGAGGCGCAGGCAGCCGTGGAGCCGGGTGAACTCACAGGCTACCACCAGCAGGGACAGCGCGAAGCAGAAGCCCCAGGCAGCCATGCAGAAGGTGCCCTGGGCGCCCGTGAAGCCGCCCCGGTGGGCCACCAGGCTGAGGGTGGTGCAGCCGAAGGCCAGCTGCAGGACGCGGGCCGTGCCCACGGGGGACGTCACGGCACCCAGGTGCAGGTACCCACCCCCGGGGGGCTCCATGCTGCTGCCCATTCTCACGCGGTGCCTGTCCCCTGCGGCAGTGGCGGGCGCCGGCAGCCTGCGGCAGCGATGACAGTGGTGACATTGCAGCAGGCAGCCTCTGCCGCCTGTGCGGGGCTGCCCCCCCCAGCACTATAAATAGACAGCAGCCATCAGAGCCCCGGAATAGCAGCCCGCGTGCCAGTCCCACCTCTGGGACATCCGACCCCGGCCCCTGCCGCGTCCTAGGAGGCGCCCCTGCCGGCGCCCTTAACCCTTTGGCTGCTGGCACCGCCCTGCTCCACGGCTGCAGCCGCTGCATCTCAGTGTCCTCGCCTGGCTCCGGGGAGGGGGAGGGGAGAGAGCAGAGGCCTGGAGACCCCCACAGGGTCACCCAGCTCGAGCAGCCTCTGGGGGAGGGCGGCCAGGGCCTCTGGGCGGGGCGGGTGCCCTCTGCCACTCACCCACCTCTCCCTGCGGCTCCCAGGGGCTTTAGGAGGACCCGGCTGTCTTCCTCCTGGGCTCGGAGGCCGCGGGGAAGGGGCAGGGGAGCAGCCGCCTGGCAGCCTCCTCACTGCGCCCAGGGGCTCCGTGGGGGCGTGGGCGGGGCCGGGGAAGCTCTTACTTGTCTCTCCTGGGCATGTGAACACCTGGGGGAAGTCTCCTGTTTTTATTTTCTCTTCAAAAGCTTATTTTATTTTTTTATTTATTTGAAATGCAAAGATAAAGACAGAGAGATGTTTTAATTTTAAAACTTTTAAGATTTATTTTTTCTTTATTTGAAAGGCAGAGTGACACAGAAAGACCAAGAAAGACCTTCCAACTACTGGTTCACGCCCCAAATGCCTGCAACAGCCTGGGCTAGGCTGGCTCGGGCCAGGAGTCCAGCACTCAGTCCAGGTCCCGTGTGGGTGGCGGGACCCACTGCCTCCCAGGGTCTGCAGCAGCATGAGGCTGGAATTGGGAGTGCAGCGGACTGGAACCTGGACACAGCGGTGTGGACTCACCCACGGCCAAATGCCTGCCACCCTTCTGATTTTCAACAGAAATATCATTTATTTATTTACTTATTTATTATTTTTGTTTATTTGAAAGAGTTATAGGTAGAGCCAGAGAGAGAAAGAGAAAGAGGAGAGAGGTCTTCCATCCACTGGCTCACTCCCCAGATGGCTGCAATGGCCGGAGCTGCACTGATCTGAAGCCGGGAGCCAGGAGCTTCCTCCAGGTCTCCCACGCGGGTGCAGGGACCCAAGGACTTGGGCATCTTCCACTGCTTTCCCAGGCCACAGCAGAGAGCTGGATTGGAAGAGGAGCAGCCAGGACTAGAACCGGCGCCCACATGGGATGCCCACACAGCAGGCTGGGGCTTTAACCTGCTATGCCACAGTGCTGGCCCCTCAACTAAAATATTATTTAATTCTATGCTCTGGACCCAGTGCCGACCCCGTGGCCCGGCCCCAGCACCGTCCTTGTGTTGCCCGGCTCCTGCTCTGGCTCCTGCAGCCCCACTGGCTGGCTGGCTGATTGTGAGTGGGACGGACAGGGCCACGCCCCTCCGGAACCTGCACACCCAATCACTCCTGGGAGTTTAGGGCCAGCCGCCGTCTGTTTTCCCACCCGTCCCCAAGATACTTTTTTTTTTTTTTTTTGACAGGCAGAGTGGACAGTGAGAGAGAGAAAGGTCTTCCTTTTGCCGTTGGTTCTCCCTCCAATGGCCACTGTGGCCGGCGCACCACGCCAATCCGAAGCCAGGAGCCAGGTGCTTCTCCTGGTCTCCCATGGGGTGCAGGGCCCAAGCACTTGGGCCATCCTCCACTGCACTCCTGGGCCACAGCAGAGAGCTGGCCTGGAAGAGGGGCTACCCGGACATAATCTAGCGCCCCGACCGGGACTAGAACCCGGTGTGCCGGCGCTGCAAGGCGGAGGATTAGCCTATTGAGCTGTGGCGCCAGCAGCCCAAGATACATTTTATAGCTTCTTTCTTTTTATAATATTTATTTATTTTAAAGTCAGAGGAGATCTCCCATCTGCTGGTTCACTCCCCAGATGGCCGCAACAGCCATAGCTGGGCCAGGCTGAGACAGGAGCCAGGAGCCAGGAGCTTCCTCCAGGTCTCCCACATGAGTGCAGGGGCCCAAGGATTTGCACCATCTTCCACTGCTTTCCCAGGCCACAGCAGAGAGCTGGATCGGAAGTGGAGCAGCCGGGACTAGAACTGGTGCCCATAGGGGATGCCGGCACTGGGGGCAGTGGTCTTACCTGCTATGCTACAATGTCAGCACCTATAGCTTTCTTCTTATCATTACAACTATAGTAGTATATAATTATTTTTTAAATGTATTTGACAGGTAGATTTACAGACAGTGAGAGAGAGAGGCAGAGAGAAAGGTCTTCCTTCCGTTGGTTCACTTCCCAAATGGCCGCCACGGCTGGCACTGCGCCGATCCGAAGCCAGGAGCCAGGTGCCCCCTACCGGTCTCCCACACGGGTGCAGTGGCCCAAGCACTTGGGCCATGCTCCGCTGCCCTCTTGGGCCACAGCAGAGAGCTGGACTGCAAGAGGAGCAGCCGGGACTAGAGCCCAGCGCCCGTATGGGATGCCGGCGCCACAGGTGGAGGACCTTAGCAATTTGTCTGACAAAGATTTAAGACATTTTATAGGTTTTAAAACATTTTGTTGGGGTGCCGGCACTGTGGCATAGCAGGTAAAGCCACCACCTGCAGTGCCGGCATCCCATATGGGCACCAGTTCTAGTCCCGGCTGCTCCACTTCCGATCCCGCTCTCTGCTGTGGCCTGGGGAAGCAGTGGGAGACGGCCCTGCACCCTCCTGGGAGACCCAGAAGCTCCTGGATTTGGATCAGCCCAACTCCAGCCGTTGCAGCCATCTGGGGAATGAACCAGCAGATGGAGGACCTCTCTTTCTCTCTCTCTGCTTCTCTGTAACTGCCTTTCAAATTAATTAATTAATTAATTAAATCATCTTCTTTTTTTGTAGAAAAAAGAACCGCCTTGCCGGGATCCGGTTGCGTGTGGCCTTTGTTACGGAAGAGGCTCCACCCTGTGCGTTTCCTGACGTGGCCTTTGTGAAGAGGCCAGGTGAGGGTTTTGTAGACAGATTTTTTTGGGAAAGATTTTGTTTATTTATTTGAAAGGAGGAGGAGGAGAGAGAGAGAGAGAGAGAGAGAGAGATCTTGCATTCACTGTTTTTCTCCCTGCGTGGCCACAGTGGCCAGGGCTGTGCTTGGCGTCAGACTCCCACGTGGATGTCCATGGCCCAAGGCCCTCCTAGGCCATTGGCAGGGAGCTGGACTGGAGGCAGAGTGGCCAGGACATGGGTGAGGTGGCAGCTTGAGCCCCTGCGCCCCAGGTAGCCTGCCTTAGACTGCAGGGGACGTCTGTGACGGTGCCTGCGGGAGCTTCGGCCGGCTGGCCAGGGTGTCGGCCCCAGAATGTGTGCCTGAGCGCCCTGGCAGAGCTCCAGGGTCCTGGCACGGCCTGGTGCCCGCCGTGGGCAACGCTCAGCTTTGAGCATGCCCCTCACTGGGATGCCCTGCTTGGATGTCAGCCCTTCGGGCCTGTGAGGCAGCGGCTGGACCCCGCCCGGGGAGGGTGCCCCCCTCTGCGTCAGGTGCTTCTGACCCACGCCGGGGTCCCTGTGGAGGAAGCTGGCTCCCTCTCCTCGGCCTCTGACCCCCTCAGTGAGACTTCAGCTCAAGTTCATGGCTACGCAGCCAGCTTGCTGTTTCCTTTTTTTTTTTCTTTCTTTTTTTCTTTTTCTTTTTTTTTTTTTTTTTTGACAGGCAGAGTGGACAGTGAGAGAGAGAGACAGAGAGAAAGGTCTTCCTTTGCCGTTGGTTCACCCTCCAATGGCCGCCGCGGCCAGCCCACCACGCTGATCTGATGGCAGGAGCCAGGTGCTTCTCCTGGTCTCCCATGGGGTGCAGGGCCCAAGCACTCGGGCCATCCTCCACTGCACTCCCGGGCCACAGCAGAGAGCTGGCCTGGAAGAGGGGCAACCGGGACAGAATCCGGCGCCCCGACCGGGACTAGAACCCAGTGTGCCGGCGCTGCAAGGCGGAGGATTAGCCTAGTGAGCCGTGGCGCCAGCCTTGCTGTTTCTAAAAGCTGTTTATTTATGCAAAAGGCAGAGTAACAAGACAGGGAGAGAGATCTTCCATCTGCTGGTTCACTCCAAGGCTCACCACAGCCAGGGCTGGGCCAGGCAGAAGCGGGTGCCCGGAGCTCCTTGCTGGTCTCCCATTGGATGGCAGGGACCAGGACTGGGGCCTCACCCACTGCCTCCCAGGTGCATTGGCAGGGAGCTGGGTGGGAAAGAGGGGGGACTCCATCCCAGGCTCTCTGACATGGGATTCGATGTCCCAAGCTGTGGCTGCCCCTACTGCACCCCGACACCTGCCCCCAGCCGCCGTTGGTTAACCACACAAACTGTCCTGGAGCCCCCCACCGCCTCTGCCCAGCCTTGGCGTCTCCTTCCTGCCCCCCTCACTCCCACCCAAGGCCAGGAGCTCAGAGTGCCTGAAGCTGAGGTGTTTCTGGGAAGCCGGGGGCAGGTGGGAGGCGGCCACAGAGAGGGCGGGGAAGGCTCTGTAGCTCACCAAGCGCAGGGCCGGGGGCGGTTCTGAGTGAGGACGATCCTGGGCCTTCCTCCAGCCCCATCCTGGGAAGAGCCCCCAGGGATGGGGACCAGCCTCTGCCCAGCCACTTCGGAGTGAGGGAGCCGAGGGTGGGACGGAGCCACGGCCAGGGCGGGTATCCTTGGCGCAGGAGGGTGCTCTCTGTGAGGACCGTCCAGGGCTGCAGCCCAGGCCAGCGCCCAGGAAGGCAGATGCACACCTGGGCTGCGGACATGGACGCCCACCCAGCAGCACCACCCACTCGGCATGGCCACCCCCCATTGCCCCAGCTCTGCCCTGCGCGTGCAGGGGAGAAAGCGCGGAGAGACAAGGCCCTGAGCCCCTGCCTGGGCTTGCTGTGTCCCCTCCCCGAGTCGCTGCCCGGGATCTGAGAACAGAGCTCAGCAGGGTCAGTTTCCTCCGCGGCGCCCACGGCCGGGCTCCCCTGCCCAGGGTGCTCCTGGTCCTCCCCTCCCCGAGGCCCCGCCACCTCTGCCTGGTCGCCCCGGGAACAGCTGCCTGGCTGGGCGGCTGCTTGCGGGGCTGGCATCCCAGGTGGGCGCCAGTTCTGGTCCCGGCTGCTCCACTTCCAATCCAGCTCTCTGCTGTGGCCTGGGGAAGCAGTGGACGATGGGACAAGTCCTTGGGCTCCTGCACCCATGTGGGAGACCTGATGAAGTTCTAAGCTCTTGGCTTCAGGCTAGTCCAGCCCCAGTTGTAGCCATTTGTGGAGTGAACCTGCATATGGAAGACCTCTCTCTATATAACTCTCCCTTTCAGATAAATAAATACATCCTTGTTTTTAAAGATGTATTTATTTATTTGAAAGTTAGAATTGCACAGAGAAGGAGAGGCAGAGAGAGAGAGAGAGAGAGAGAGAGAGAGAGGTCTTCCATCTGCTGGTTCACTCCCCAGTTGGCTGCAACGGCCAGAGCTGCGCCGAAGCCAGGAGCCAGGAGCCAGGGGCTTCTTCCTGGTCTCCCACGCGGGTGCAGGGGCCCAAAGACGGGCCATCTTCTACTGCTTTCCCAGGCCACAGCAGAGAGCTGCATGGGAAGTGGAGCAGCCGGGACCAGAACTGGCACCCACATGGGATGCCGGCACTGCAGGTGGCAGCTGTACCCACTACGCCACAGTGTCAGCCCCAAATAAATCGGGGCACCGGATTCTGTCCCGGCTGCTCCTCTTCCAGGCCAGCTCTCTGCTGTGGCCCGGGAGTGCAGTGGAGGATGGCCCAGGTGCTTGGGCCCTGCACCCCATGGGAGACCAGGAGAAGCACCTGGCTCCTGGCTTTGGATGGGTGCAGCACCAGCCATAGCGACCATTTGGGGGGTGAACCAGTGGAAGGAAGACCTTTCTCTCTGTCTCTCTCTCTCACTGTCTAACTCTGCCTAATAATAATAAAAGAGATTTATTTATTTATCTGAAAGGCAGAGTTACGGAGGCAGAGAGAGAAAGGAGCGTTCACTGAGCCTTCTCCGGCCGGGGTCAGAGGTCGGGAGCCCTTGGCCCCGCCCATGCCCTCACCCACCCCCCCAAAGAAACACAGCTGCAGCGTGAGGCTCTTTTGTCATCTTTTTTTTCATTATTTAAAAAAAATATGTTACAAAACAATATCATTCATCATAGAGTTCTTATTTTCCTTTTTAAAAAATTAAAGTAATAAAAAAGTCACTTTATAAAATAATACAAAAGGGCATGATTGGCGGGGCTGGGCTGGGCGGGGCTGTCCCAGCCAGGCTGGGGATCCAGTGCTTGGTCTCCGGGCGGGGCCGGCTCCCCGCGGGGCGGGGCCGGCTCCTCGCGGGGCGGGGCCGGCTCCCCGCGGGGCGGGGCCGGCTCCTCGCGGGGCGGGGCCGGCTCCCCGCGGGGCGGGGCCGGCTCCCCGCGGGGCGGGGCCGGCTCCAGGGCGCCCCTAGCGGGCACTGCTCAGCAGGCCCAGCAGCTTGCTGGGCTCCAGTCCCTGCTGCTGGGCCACGGCCTGCACGTCGAAGCCCATGTGCATGAGGAACTGGGCCACGCTCATCTCCTGCCCCGTGAACTGGTCCCGGATGGTGGGGCACGAGGGGTTGCAGTGCGGCCAGGGGCAGCTGTCCACCAGGCGGGTGGGGCAGCCCTTCAGAGGGGCTCTGCCCGCCTTGTGGTTCTCCTGCAGGCTGCGGTCCCAGCAGTGCAGCGCCCGGGGCAGCGAGGTCCCCTTCACCTGGACCTCGGTCCAGTGGCTGCAGACAGACAGAGGCAGGCTCAGCAGCCCGGAGGGGCCGGGCCGCAGCACGCCCTGCCCGGGGTGGGGGGGGGGGGGCTGGACACCGACCTGCGAATGATGATCTCGTGGGACAGGCAGGCGGGCGCAAAGCTGGCCCTGGCGGGGAGACAGCCGCTGTGAGCCTCACGCCCCCTGCCCCGCCCCGCCCCCTCCCTGAGGCTCCCGCTGCCCCTCGACCCTGCCCTCTGCGCCCCAAGTGCCCTCTCCGAGCGCCCCTTGTCGCGGGCGGCAGCCGGAGGCGGTGGGGAGGGAGGACCCCAGGCATCTTCTGAGGCCTTGGCCCCTCGGAGGGGCCGCCCCCACTCACGGCACGTCTCTGAGCGTCTCGCGCAGCTCGCGGCCCAGGTTCTGGATGTAGAGCCACTGCCCCTCCTGCACCGGCTGCCCCGTCAGGTGCACGTTGTCCACGGTCAGCTGGGCCTCGTCAAACAGCCACTGCACCACGAACACCGGGCCTGGGGGCGGACACAGGGCTGGGGGCGGGCACCGGGCCGGGGGCGGGCCCAGGGCTGGGGGCGGGGCAGCCGGCCAGGGGATGGGCCCAGGGCTGGGGACGGACACAGGGCTGAAGGCGGGGACCGGGCCGGGGGCGGGCCCAGGGCTGGGGGCGGGCCAGGGCTGGGGACGGACACAGGGCTGGGGGAGGGCACCGGGCCGGGAGGCGGGGCAGCGGTTCAGGGGGCGGGCCAAGAGCTGGGGGCGGGCCAGGGCTGGGGACGGACACAGGGCTGGGGGAGGGCACCGGGCCGGGAGGCGGGGCAGCGGTTCAGGGGGCGGGCCAAGAGCTGGGGGCGGGCCAGGGCTGGGGACGGACACAGGGCTGGGGGAGGGCACCGGGCCGGGAGGCGGGGCAGCGGGCCAGGGGGCGGGCCAGGGCTGGGGGCGGACACAGGGCTGGGGGAGGGCACCGGGCCGGGAGGCGGGGCAGCGGTTCAGGGGGCGGGCCAAGAGCTGGGGGCGGGCCAGGGCTGGGGACGGACACAGGGCTGGGGGAGGGCACCGGGCCGGGAGGCGGGGCAGCGGGCCAGGGGGCGGGCCAGGGCTGGGGGCGGACACAGGGCTGGGGGCGGGGACCGGGCCGGGGGCGGGCACAGGGCTGGGCTCCGGCCGCCACCCGCGTGGCCTCCCTCTGAGCAGGACCCTTCAGTGTGACCACGGCCCCCTTGCCCTCAGTGTGGCGCAGTGAAGGGCCCCTCCCAGGTACAGGGCAGCCCACCACCCTGGGGTGACGGGACCAGGGCTTTCAGAGCTGGAAGCAGTAGCAGCAGCCCCCGTCAGCCTCGCGGGCGGGGCTGTGTGGTCTGGCTGGACCTCGGACGTCCAGGGGTGGCCGTGGCAGGCCCACTCACAGCGCAGCGTGGGGTAGACCTTGTAGCCGAAGAAGCAGTTCCACTCCTCGCCCTCCTTGAACTGGCGCCGGCAGCGCTCCGGGACCACCCCGTTCCAGTACCTGGGGCCACGGCTCAGGTCAGGCCCGGGAGGGCCCTTGCCCCAGCCCCCACGCCCTCGCCCCAGGCCCCGTGCAGCCACCTGATGCCGCGGCGGATGGCTTCCGTGGGCGCGCAGGTGACGGTGTCCACACAGCCCGTGCGGCGGTACTGCTTGTTGTCCAGGAACCAGCCGGAGTCGGCCAGGCCCCGCACCTGGATGGACGGGTGGCCCAGCGCCTCCAGCTGCTCGGCCACGCGGTCCACGTTCAGCAGCACCCCGGTGCCCCCAGCACTGCAGGGAGGCCGACCGTGAGGCCAGGTGGCCCCGGGGCTGCTCAGCCCCCAGCCTGCGCCCGCTGGAGGGGCAGGGGCCCTGGCGCGTCCTGAGTGGACACGTGCCCCGTTCACGGTTCAGGGGCAAGGCCTTCCAGGACCTGGCTCAGAGCCAAGGCCGGCAGCCGCCCTGCTTCCACCGTCCGGAGCTGGTCCCCTCCCCCCACCTCAGTTTCCAGAGCGTCCATTCCTTGCCTGCCAGCCGCAGCCACCAACGGGAGTGACCCCCGCCTACCAGGACCCCCGAGCAGGCAGCCCAGCGCTGGTCTGGACGGCTCCCAGTCGCCGAGCTCTGGGACACAGGTGCTGGCTCCAGCCCCTCCCCCTCCCTCTCCCCTGCCAAGGCCGGGCCTGGCGAGAGGGAAGCCGCCGGCGCTGTCCCCTGGCGGCCGCGGCCTCGCCCTCCCACGCCCGCGCCCTGCGCACCTGCTCCCGGCCAGCAGCAGCACTTTGGCCCCGCCGAGCCCTCTGCCCAGCAGCTCCCGCACCACCTCCTGGATGATGAGCGCGCCCAGGAAGGCGTAGCCGTCTGCGCGGAGGGGCGTGGCTTCAGCTGCAGGGAGGGGCTTGGGGATCTGGGAGGGGCGGGAGGGGCTGGGGTAGACGGGGGCGGGAGGAGGAGCCAGTGCGGGAGGCAGGCGGGGACCCTCCCCCTCCTCTGGGAAGACCCGGAGTGAGGACCCCGTCCGGGCCAGGCCGCGCGCCCGAGCAGGGGGCGGGAGGGCGCGCAGAGGCGGGGGACTCACTCTTCTCGGATTTGGGGGAGGCCCCACTCCACACGTCGCTGGAGCAGTAAGGAACGAAGCTGTAACAGAGAGACCCTGAGAGCCGCGCAGGAAGGCCCCGCCCAGACAGGACCCCCGCCCAGGAGGGCCCCCCTTACACCATGTAACAGAGAGACCCTGAGAGCCGCGCAGGAAGGCCCCGCCCAGACAGGACCCCCGCCCAGGAGGGCCCCCCTTACACCATGTAACAGAGAGACCCTGAGAGCCGCGCAGGAAGGCCCCGCCCAGACAGGACCCCCGCCCAGGCGGGCCCCCCTTACACCATGTAACAGAGAGACCCTGAGAGCCGCGCAGGAAGGCCCCGCCCAGACAGGACCCCCGCCCAGGCGGGCCCCCCTTACACCATGTAACAGAGAGACCCTGAGAGCCGCGCAGGAAGGCCCCTCCCAGACAGGACCCCCGCCCAGGAGGGCCCCCCTTACACCATGTTGGCGTTCCACCAGTGCGGGTTCTCTTCTGGCTGTGAGGACAGGATCCCCGTGCCTGGGGGGGGGGAGGGGAGACTGTACAGGGGTGGGGGCAGGGGAAGACGGCTGTGCACCTCCCCCCGGCTGTGACGCTGGGGGGGCATCAACCCCTGGGGGCCGGAAACCAATGTGCGAGAGGGGAATCCGGGCTGGGGGCTTCCTCCCGACTGACCTGTGCGAGTGCGCGGCCAGTCCTTGGAGCTCATGAGGCGCCGCATGGTGTCGTACCTGGAGTCACAGCTCTCGCGGCTGAAGCAGTACCAGCCACCTGCGGGCGGTCTGCGGGCTCAGGACCGCACACCCCGAGCGGCCCGGCCCGCCCCGCCCCGCCCCGCCGCCTCTGGCCCCGGGACGCACCTTCCAGGAAGAGGAGCCAGCGCCGACTGCCCTTGGACTCCTTCAGGTAATATCTGCGCGGGAGGACGCCCGAGCGCGGTCAGCGGGACTGCCGGCAGGGCGCCCCGAGTCCCGCGCCGCGCCGCGCTCCGGGCCCCAAAGGGTGGCTCCACCTGTCGTGGCCTAGCGCGCGGCGGCCGCACGGGGGCGCCCGCGTCCAGGCCCGCGCACAGCGCCCCTGCGGGGCCGCCCGTCCCGGGAGGGGGCGCTCGCGGGGCGGGGACGGGCCGCGCGGGGCGCTGTGGTCCGTGGAAAATCCCCACGGCCCGCCTGGCATGGGACCCGCGGTAACCTCGGCTCGGAGGACGTCGCGTTCCCCTGGGCTGTCGTCGAGGCCCCGCGCGCAGGGGCGCCCCCGCCTCCCACCTCGCGGCTCCCCCTCCTCCACGTGCGTCCCGTGTCCCCGCCCCGTGCCCCTGCAGCCGGGGCCGGCTCCCCGGTGGTCCCCTAGGCTAGGCGCGACAGGGCTCTCCCCGCCATCCGCCCCCCGCCCCGGGGGTGGCCTCCTGACTGCCGTCTCCCCGCCCCGCACCCAAGGACCCGAGCAGCCAGGCTGGGCACCGGCGGTGGCCGAGGGGTCAGTGCCCGTGCTGGGCGGCGGCCAGGCCGGCAGGCGCTGCTCCCCCGCCCCGGGCGGCGAGTTTCGGAACTGGGGCCTAGCGAGGGGGCGAGGGGCGAGGGGGCAGGGGGGCGGGCTCGGGCCCTACCCGGCCGGGCTTCCGTCGTTGCAAGTTACGGACGTGTTGAGCAGGAGGTGCAGGCGCAGGTCCTCGTTTAGCTGCTGCGCGGAGCAGGGGTACAGGGACTGCGCCAGGCTCTTGACCTGCGCCATGAAGCTGTCCATGTTGCCCTCTACGGCCGTGAAGTCCAGCGGGAAGCTCTCCACCGGCTGCCCGGCCCCCGGCGCCGCCTCGGTCTGCTGTGCGGGCGGCGGCGGGGGCGGCGGCTGCTGTCCGCGGCGCCGCCAGGTCTTCCTGGCCGCGCCGCCCCCGGCCCAGTGCAGCAGGCCGAGGATCAGCAACAACACGCGCACCCCTCGGCCCATGGCCGCGACAGTCGGGCCCGCGGCCACCTGCGGAGAGCGGGCGGCCTTGAGGCGGCGGCGGCGGGGGGCGCGGGCCGGGGGCGCCGCCGCGCCTGCCTGCTGGCCCCCCGCGCCGCGCACCGAGCCTGGCCGGGGAGGCGCGCGCGGCTCGGCGTCGAGGCTCCGCGGCTCGGGCTGGGCGCGCAGCGGCCGAGGGCAGCGGGAGGTCTGGGTGCGCTGGCTCCGGCCCGCGCCAATGAGCGGCGGGGGCTGCGGCGGCCCGGGTGCCCGCGCGTTAGATGTGCCGCCGCCGCCGCCGCCCGGGCTGGGCGCGGGGGGAGGGGGCCGCGCTCACTGCTTTCTTGGCGGAGGCTTTGCCTTTTCTTCCCAAACCGCAAGCCTGACCGAGGGGCCTGGACTACCCCGCCGTGGCCGCCGGAGGCGCTCCCGGCCCGGCTTCGTGGGGGGCAGCGCGGCCCGGCGGCCCCGGCGGCCCCATCCACCGCGGCCAGCCCGGCGCCGCCGCCGCCGCCGCCGCCCCCGGGGCTGCTGGAAGGGGCGGCGGCGCCGAGCGAGGCTTTTCCGCGCCGGGGGGCGCTGCGCGCGGGGCGCGGCGGGGCCGGTCCCGACGGGCCAGGGGGCGCGGGGCGAGCGCGCTCACCTGCGGCCGCCAGCGTTCCTCCGCCGCCCACCGTCCAGGGCCAGAGCAGCCCGCGGGCGCCTCGGACCCCGGCCCGCATCCCTCCCCCTCCCCTCAACAGCCCAGGGCCCGGCGCTCACCGCGGCGCGCGCGGGCGGCCCCGTGGCCGGGCTCCTCGGCGTCGCTCGCCCTGCGCCGCCCGCTGGTGCGCCGGGCTCGGCTGTGCTCCCCGTCTGGCGCTGGCGCGGAGCCGCCCGGGACTTTTATCCCGCGGGGCCCCCGGGATCAAAGCGGCGGCGGACACAGGGCTGCGCGCGGAGGGGCCGGCAGTGGCGGCGCCGGGGCCTCCGGGAGGAGCGGACAGGTGTGGCGCGAGGCCCCGGCGCTCTGTGCCACCCGCGGGAGGGCCCCGGCGCCGCGGGGGAGTCGCCCTGGCCCGCGCCTGAGCGGGCACGTTCGGGGCGGCTCCCGGAGACTCCGGGGCCGGAGGGGCGCGGGGTGAAGCCCGGGCTCGCCCCTTGCGCCCTGACCGCCGCGCCCCTCTCTCCCTGCCCCGCCGCCATCGACGGATGGGGCCGAGGGTCCCGGGAGCTGCCCGCTTGGCCCGGGCTCGGTGACCTCGGTGCACTCTGGCGCCTTGGCGCCGTCTCCCCGCCCTCCCCGCCGGCCTCTCCTCCGGGTGCCAGGGCTGCGGTCGCTGGACCCCGCGAATCCGCATAGCGTTTGCTGGGGAGGCTGCTTGGCGTGCGTTCCCCCATCTCCCTCCGCGTGCGCACAAATTGCGGCTCGCTGCCCTGTCTCCCCAGCGGTATCGGCCGCAGCCTGGGAGGGTCACTACACCCATAGGAAAGACAGAGAACAGGTTCTGCCTCTTGGGACGTGAGTCCAGACGTGGGCGGGGCTTCTGGAGCCCACCTGGTCGTTGGGGGCAGTGGGGAGGGCGCCTCAGCTCCTGGCCGGAGATGAGCGGTGGCCCCAGTAGCTGCCTCCTCTGAGAGCCCCTCGCCCTGCCTGCGTCCTGGCCAGTCCTGGGCCTGGAGGAGGAAGCCACACCCCCACCCCCACACAAGCCCACATGCAGGGCAGGTGTGCTGGCTCTGCTGACGCGGTGACCTACCGTCCGACGCCCTGGAGGCCGGCCGCGCCGCCTGGGAGCCGGGCACCACGGAGTAGGCGGGCCGGGTCAGGAGCTCTGTCCACTGCGCAGAGGCCGCCCTGCCCGGAAGCTGACAGGAGCCAGGGTCTGGCTAAGCTGTGCACGGGTGGTCCTGATGCTGTAGGGTCCATTTAAAGGGCCCTGCTCGGGGCTGGCCAGAAGAGTCCCTGCACACGCCCAGTCCACCAGGGAGGGCTGACCTCGATGGAGTTTCCTCACCGGGCAGGAAGCTGCCTCCAGGACACAGCGAGGCCCTGGGCAGGGGCAGGGTGCCCTCCAGCTGGATGGCCTCACTGCTCAGGGGTGTGCTGAGACCCGGCCCTGAGTCACTGCCCGGCGGGGGGATCCTGGGCAAGCCCCCACGCCCCCACCTCCAGTCCCTCGTCCTCCTCTTCTTCCACCTTTCCACCTTATCCTCCTCCTCCTCTTCTTCTTTTAAAGATTTATTTATTTATTTGAGAGGCAGAGTTAGAGAGAGAGAGAGACAGAGAGACAGAGGACTTCCATCCGCTGGTTCACTCCCCCGATGTCCACAATGGCTGGAGCTGATCCGATCTGAAGCCAGGAGCTTCTTTCAGGTCTCCCATGTGGGTGCAGGGCCCAAGGACTTGGGCCATCTTCCACTGCTTTCCCAGGCCACAGCAGAGAGCTGGATCAGAAGTGGAGCAGCCGGGGCCGGCGCCGCGGCTCACTAGGCTAATCCTCCGCCTAGCGGTGCCGGTACACCGGATTCTAGTCCCGGTTGGGGCGCCGGATTCTGTCCCAGTTGCCCCTCTTCCAGGCCAGCTCTCTGCTGTGGCCAGGGAGTGCAGTGGAGGATGGCCCAGGTGCTTGGGCCCTGCACCCCATGGGAGACCAGGAAAAGCACCTGGCTCCTGGCTCCTGCCATCGGATCAGCGCGGTGCGCCGGCCGCAGCGCGCCGGCCGCGGTGGCCATTGTGGGGTGAACCAATGGCAAAGGAAGATCTTTCTCTCTGTCTCTCTCTCTCACTGTCCACTCTGCCTGTCAAAAAAAAAAAAAAAAGTGGAGCAGCTGGGACTTGAACCGGTGCACATATGCGATGCTGGCACTGCAGGTGGTGGCTTTACCTGCTACGCCACAGCGCTGGCCCCAGGTCCTCTTCTGTAAAGCAGGGCAGTGCCCTGACCTCCCGGAGGGATTGGGGTGCCCGTGCATGGAGCAGGGATGACGGCCAGCCCCCAGGACGGGAGGAGCTCGCACGTCTGCCCCTCTGGGGTCTGTGGATCTGGGATCCGATTTCGCCTGCACATTGAAACGAAATGAGTTCCTGTCTTGGTTTATTCAGCAGCAGTGGCTGAAGCAGAGGGGCTCAGACCCCACCCTGCCTCGCCACCATCCTGGTCTCAGTCGCTGCAGGCAGGGCCAGGGCCGGGGCTTCCAAGGCTGCTCACCCCGGTGTGCTGTGTCCAGCCTGGCCCTGTCCTTGCGTCCCTCCCCGCAGGGGCCAGTTCTGTCCTCACACCTGAGACTCCTTCACATTTTCTGGCGGGATCTTCTGGGAGGTCAGGCCCTTTGAGCCACCGGGTGCTGGACCTTCACATCGAGGCCACCTGCGCTGAGACCAGTGGCCGGTGTGGCCCGGACAGGTACAAGGGGGACTCCAGAGCCTCCAGCCTCACCCATGGGGGTAGCCGGGGGCAAAGCAGGAGGCGTGGGCGCCGAGCGTGGCTGGCAGGAATGTGAAAGGTGAGCCGGCTGTCCCACGCCTGGGGGCCAGGTGTTCCCAAGGAACTGACCACAGGGGCTCACATGAAAGCTTGTACTGAGGGGCTGGCGTGTGGTTGTGGTGCAGTGGGCTAAGCGGCCACCTGCGATGCCAGAATCCCGTATAAGCAGTTGGCATCCTGCTGCCCCAGCTCTTCTTGTTATTGTTAACATTTCGGGCTGGCGCCGCGGCTCACTAGGCTAATCCTCCGCCTAGCGGCGCCGGCACACCGGGTTCTAGTCCCGGTTGGGGCGCCGGATTCTGTCCCGGTTGCCCCTCTTCCAGGCCAGCTCTCTGCTGTGGCCCGGGAGTGCAGTGGAGGATGGCCCAAGCGCTTGGGCCCTGCACCCCATGGGAGACCAGGAGAAGCACCTGGCTCCTGCCATCGGATCAGCGCGATGCGCTGGCCGCAGTGCGCCGGCCGCAGCGGCCATTGGAGGGTGAACCAACGGCAAAGGAAGACCTTTCTCTCTGTCTCTCTCTTTCACTGTCCATTCTGCCTGTCAAAAAAAAAAAAAATTCCACTTAATTTATTCAAAAGGCAGAGTTACAGAGAGAGTAAGAGAGACAGAGAATGATCTTCCACATGCTCGTTCACTCCCCAAATGGCTGACACGCCAGGGCTGGGCCAGCCTAAAGCCAGGAGCCAGGAGCGTCATCCGGGTCTCCCACGTGGGTGCAGGGGCCCAGCGCTCGGGCCGTCCTCTGCTGCTTTCTCAGACGCTTTAACAGGGAGCTGGGTGGGAAGTGGAGCGGCCGGGACTCGAACCGGAGCTCATCCAGGATGCCAGTGCTGCAGGTGATGGCTTAACCCACTGCGCCATGGTGCTGACCCCTCTGGCTGCCCCGCTTCTAGTCCGGCTCCCAGTTAATGCACCTGGGAGCCATGATGCACGTGCTTGGCCCTGCCACCCACATGGGAGACGAGACGGAGTTCCAGGCTCTTGGCTTCTATGTGGCCCAGCCCTGGTCACTGAGGCGCTCTCTCTCTCTCTCTCTCTCTCGCTCTCTCGCTCTCTCTCTCTCTCTGTCTTTGAAGTAAAATAAACAAATATAAAAATAAAAGAAGCGTTGGCACGTGCGTGTTCAGAGCAGCGTGACTCAGCCACAGCCCGGGGTCGGAGGGATCAGCTGCAGGACGGCCATGCCCTGGTGTGTGCTCCAGCCCTAGAGGAATGACGTTGTGACACAGACGCAGGCTCCGGCACGGCTGGCCAGACACAGACGGCGCCCGCCGTGTGACAGCAGGAGGTGTCCAGGAGACAGACCCGGGAACACTGAGTGTCCACGGGGCAGGGCACGAGCAGGGGCTGCTACTGGGTGCCGGTTTCTCCCCGGGGTGAGGGAGCCTCTGCAGCGACTGTGCTGGTCGCCCGCACTGTGGACACACTGAGCACCAGGGAGTGTCCACTCGAGTGGTCGCTTCACGCTCTGTGATTTTTACCTAGAAAAACGCAGCAGTGGGTCAGACTGCTGAGGGTCAGCCAGGGGTGCAGGGCTGCGGTGGGCTGGTCATGCCTGGAAACCTCCCTGGCCTGACTGCTCATCACACAGCTGTCCCCTACAGAGTCTGTGTGGCGCAGGTGACCTGTGGCCTCGTCCCTGCTGCCCTGTGGCTGGTCTCAGCCTCAGGCTCCTGGGCTGTGAAAGGGCAGGAGGCCACAGAGCATCAGACAGGCAAGCTGTGCAGGGGTCAGCCCCGTTCTCAGCTAAGGTGTCCGCAGGGCAGACACCCAGGCTTGGGGTGAGGAGCAGGACGACGTCCGAGTCACCATGCTGCACGGGTCCCTGGAAGCCACCCGGCCTGCGGGGCTCCTGCTGGGGTGGGCGGCAGGTGCCCCTGGCTTAGCCTTGAGCCCCCAGGTGTGCCCAGAGGGGGTCTGCACTCTCTGGGGAGCACCCGGGGTACAGGAGACGGTGCAGGGCTGCTTAACCGGCCCTGCTGTGGGGAGGTGGGGGGGGCAGCAGAGGTCAGCACCGGGAGTCACGGGCCTTCCTGCAGGGGAGAGGAGAGTGGCCGGTGCGGGGGCAGGTTCTGGGGGAAGGCGGATGGCAGCGTGGGGAGCCCACCAGACCCTCTGAGGGCTCTGACACGTGAAGACCAGGCCACTGGCCTAGGCCTCTGGGACTCAGGATGACCTGGCTCCCTGGGCTGGGCAGGGCGATTGCTCAGTGCTGCACAGCCAGCTCCCTCCCCAGGCTCTGCCCAGCTGCTGCCTGGCGTCTGGGGCCCAGTTGCTGCGCGCTGGCCTCAGCTACCCTGACTTGCACGGCCACCTGGGCAGCTCTGCGCCTCAGCTGCTGGCTGCTGGGGGGTGGGGAAACCGGGCAGGCCAACCCCTCCCCTGGTGGCTTGCTCTAGGAGGCCCCCGCCCCAGGAAGGGCCTCAGGGCCAGGGTTCCCATGCAGCTTGCCCCCCCCCCGTTCAGTGTCCCCAAAGCCCCCTCCCATCAGCAGGCTTCCCCCGTGGTTGAGCCCCAGAGCCCTGCCAAGCAAAGCCCCCCCAGAGCTATTTGGGGTGAAAGGCGGTGGGGATCTCAGCGGGTCTTTGGGGGGGGGGAGCTGCTCCTAGGCCGACCTCCAGCGCCTGGGGGTCACCTGGCAGAGAGCCTGCCCGGCTGCCCAGCCCAGCGAGCTCAGCCCGGCCCCACCCACCCTGCAGCCCTCGCTCCCCCAGCCGAGCCAGGGCGCGGGCCATGTGACCCCAGCCGGCCCTCCCTCCGCCCTGGGGAGGCAGAAACAAACCCTCAGATCTGCCACTGGGAGCCTTTCAGCGCCTGCGACATCAAAGGGGCAGCGGAGGCGGCAGATGCTTCCCTTAAAGGGCCATGCCACTTTAATTCAAAGCAGATCCTGGGAACAGCTGTCTAGCGGCCCGCCCAGGAGGGGGGTGAGGAGGAGGCTGGCGGCCGGCTGTCCAGAGGGCGGGCAGGACCTGAGCCCAAGACAGCGCCAGGCAGGAGCCCCGTGCTCACGGCGGCAGCTTAGACCCTTGGTGAGAGAGTGTGATGGCTTCTGCCCACCCAGGTAGGAGCTGAGGCCTGGACCTGCCTGGCTGTCTGCCCGTGTGGAGGCCGCTGGCAGCTCCAGGCACCAGGGGAAGGCTCCCTGATGGCCACTTGCCCACCCAGACGTGAGGAGGACACGCTAGGAAGAGACAGAGGGGGAAAGAGCTCAGTAGAAGGCAGGGTAGAGACAAGGAGGGGCCGGGGGAAGACACAGCCCGGTGCCCCTACGCGGCAGGTGCCCAGGCGGCCTCGGCAGGGACCCCAGCTGTGTCTTCTGGGTGGGCCCAGGGCCTCCCCCAGCCCACCTTTCACTGTGGAGGTCCTCCACTCCCAGGAGGGGAGCCCTGCCGCTGCTCCTGGGGTCGCCCGCCGGGTGTGACGCTTGGCTCCCGGCAGGGAGGGGCTGCACCTGGTGCCCTTCACAGGGACTCCCGGGGTACCACCCAGGGAGGGGGCTCCTCCTGCCCCGAGTAGCTGCGTGTGGCCGGGCTGCAGTCGAGGCAACAGGAGGGTGTGAGGAGCAAGGGCAGAGCCCCACCCAAGCCCACGGGGCAGCCTGTGCAGAGGGGCGCAGTGGGTGGGGCGGGTGGGGCCAGGACACGCCTTGTTTTACACCTCTGTGTTAGGGGAGGATGGATTTATATGGAAGGGAGAACGCCAGAGAGAGGCAGACACCCACGCACCCACCCACCCCCACACCCCATCGGCTTCCATCTGCTGGTTCACTCCCCAAATGGCCACACAGCCTGGTCTGGGCCAAGCCAACACCGGGAGCCTGGAACTCCACCCGGTCTCCCACGTGAGCTGCGCCGGCTCCCAGCTGGGTGCCAGCGTTGCCTGCGGTGCTGCCCCTTCTCCCCCTGCTCCCGGCCTGCAGACCCCGCCTCCCCCGCGGGGCTCGGGCCTTGGGGCCGCGGGCTGAGACTTCTCGGCCGTCAGGAGCCTCCGTCTGCCCGCAAGCTCTGGGTTCAGTTTCTGGCACAGCAAATTCACTCAGCAACCTCTGGACACACAGTCTGTATTCTCTAGTGACGTGTGCGCCAGGGAGAGGAATAGCCCGGCTAAGGCACCTCCTGCGGCGCCGCATCCCACGTGGGCCCGGGTTCGAGCCCCGGCTGCTCCACTTCTGATTCAGCTCTCTGCTGTGGAAAGCAGAAGCCGGCCAAGTGCCAAGAGTCAGAGCTCACAGGCTCAGCCAGGGGGACCCCGCAGACTCCAGCCGGGCCACGGCTCAGGCCATGTGTCCTGGGGGCCAGTCGTGGGCCATTTGGCCGCCTGGACCCTTCAAGCCTGGATCCGGACTGTGGAGAGGCCCAGGCTGCTCAGCTCTGAGGACGGCCTCGGCCATGACAGGCGGTGTGGGCGGCCCCGCTGCTGTCAGTCCAGGAGCCCCAGGTGTGCCCGCCCCGCCCCCAGCACCGAATTCGGAATTCAGCCGGGTCAGGACAGGCAGCTGGCCATTAGCGGCCCGGGGGCGGGGTGTGAGGGGTCAGAACATGGACCCAGCGGCCGCGGGGTCGGGGGTCGGCACGGACCCGGCGGCCGCGGGGTCGGGGGCTGTCGCTGCTCTGGGTCTCCTGGCTCCCTCAGAAACGCCTCATTGGCCCGGGCTTGGCCAAGGGAAGCCCCCCGGGGCCGAGGAAGCGTCCCTGCCGCCGGGCTGAAGCCCAGGGCCAGCAGAGGGCCGGGGCGGGGGCCGCAGAGACAGGCGGGCGGCCGTGAGGGCCGGCACTGAGAGCCAGCCGTGCGCCTTCCGCCCGGGCCGGCGCTGGCGGCTACTCCACGAGAGTGGACGTCCGGCAGCGACACCGGGGCCCCCACGGCGCCCGTTGAGGGCACCGCGCGCCCCGCTCCTCAGAGCGCCGGCTGCGCGGGCCAGGGGCGGGGCCCGAGCGCAGGGGCGGGGCCTGGGGCCCGGAAGGGCGCGGCGGCCCCGCCCCCGCCGGCCGCGTGGCTGTGCGTCCCGGCTGTTGCCGATAAAGTTGTTTGAAGCCCGGCCGGCCGCGGGTCACGTGAGCGGAAGATGGCGGCCCCGGCAGGCGGCGGCGGCTCCGCGGTGTCGGTGCTGGCCCCGAACGGGCGGCGCCACACGGTGAAGGTGACGCCTAGCACCGTGCTACTGCAGGTGCGGCAGCCGGCCGGCGGGGCGGCCGGGCGGACGGGCGGACGGGCGAGCGAGCGGGTCCGCCGCGCCGGCCCGCCCCCCGCGGTTGGCTTCGGGCCTCGGGGCCGGGCCTCGGGCGAGCCCGTGGTGGGCGCGGCCTGAGGGGGCCAATGAGCGGGCTCTTGCCCGGGAGGCCCCGCCCACCTGGCTCGGCGGGCGCCGGGGTTTGCGCGGGGGTCGCAGGGGCGTGGCGCGCCGGCCCCACGTGCGCGGTCCCGGCGTCCCGGGCCGCTGGGGTGGCCGCGGTCCGTGCGCCCGGCGGGGGTTCTGCTGAGTCACTCGCTGCTCCGTGGCGGAGGTCGGGGCGCCGTGCGGCCGGAGCGGCACCCTGGCCCCGGTCTGGCCCCGTGGGCAGCGCTCGCGGGCACGCCCAGCGGGGATCCCAGGGTGGGAGGCAGGAAGCGTGGGCCGCGGAGCTGGCCGGCCCCGGGGCGCGCGGAGCGGGCCTCGTGGGAGGTCGGGGCGTGACGGGGCTTGGCCCTGGGCGGCCCCTGCACTGAGGTTCGCTTTGTCCTCTTCTCTAGGTCCTGGAGGACACGTGCCGGTGTCAGGACTTCAACCCCAATGAGTATGATCTGAAGTGAGTTTGGAGTTTGCCTTGGGCAGGGCGCCAGGCGTCCACGCCCCCTCCCTGGAGGAGCCGTGGGCGACTGGACCCCACCCTGAGGTCCGCCTTTCCTCTGGCTTTGCCCCTGGCCGCAGGTCCTCCTGCGCTGGCCTCTCCTGCGGCCTTTTCCCACTCCGTGTTGCTCTCCTGCGTCTCGCGACACCTGTCGGGGTTCGAGACCCACCCGACCCACGGCGTGCAGCGTGGTCTCCGGTGGGGCCCTGGGAAATGAGAGGAAGCTCTGCCAGCCGTGGGCGGAGCCCTGTGGTCTCGCCCGTGGGCCCTCCGCAGAGGCTGTCCAGATTCCCGGTCTGAGCCCTCGTGGGGAGACGTGGGTTTCTCCCGCTCCCGCTGAGCCTTACACCTTAAAGACCCACCCCAAGGCATCACGTCCTGGCCTCGGGCCAGACTTGTCCCCGCCGTCCTGCTCCCCCAGCCTGTCGGGGGTGCCCAGGGAGAGGCTCTGCAGGGGACACTGCAGCCCGAGAGCCCGCGGCGTGTGCTGTGCCACCTCTGGTCTCTGGATCTCGCGGTGCCGGGCCGCGCTGGCCTGGAGCCAGCGGCACTCACCGAGCTCGGCCGCGGGGCCCAGTGCCCGTGCTCTCGGGGTTCCTGGGCAGCAGCTGCGGTGTCCTGGACTCCGCACGCTGATGGCATTTCTAGTCGCCTTCTGGCCGTGGTGAGGGTTGGTGCTGGGTGTGCACCTGGGCCCTCAGCGGCGCAGCTCGGGAAGCCGGCAGGCGTCGGGTGGCTGCCGTGGCGTTTGCCGCATTCGGCTGTCACGGTCTCCCCCAGCTTATTTTCCCATTTAGTACTTTTTTCCTTCTGTGGGTTCCCACACCCCAGAATTTCAGAGGTTGGAGCTAGTGGGGCTGGCATTCAGCCCGGGGCTGAGACACCAAGGCGCCGTGCCCGGCTCTGCGCCCGCGTCCTGCCCGTGCGCGCCCTGGGAGGCGGCGGTGGGGGCTGCAGTGGCCGGGTCCCTCCCCCACGAGGGAGCCTGCGCCGAGGTCTCGGCCCAGCCCAGGTCTGGCCCAGCTCTGGTGTTTGGGAGCAAAGCGGCGGAGGGGGACGCTCTCTGTCTTTCCACCTCTGAAACAGAGAAAACAGCGCAGAGTTCAGTGTGACGCCATAAACAGGAAACGAGTCTCGCCCTTCTGGGCGCTGTCTCTTTTTTCCCCAGATTTATTCATTTGTTTATTTGAGAGACAGAGAGACACAAAGAGACAGAGCTCCCATCCGCTGGTTCACTCCCCAGATGTCTTCAACAGCTGTGGCTGAGCCAGGCTGCACCCAGGAGCCAGGAGCGCCATCCGGGCCTCCCCGGCCAGCGGCAGGGGCCGGACGGGCAGCGGAGCATCCGGGGCCTGAGTGGCCCAAGGCTTCGCCTGCGGGACCACAGTGCTGCCCTGTCTGTGCACTCTGTTTGAACGGCAGGGACACAGAGGCAGAGTTTCCGTCCACAGGTTCCCTCCCCAGTGCCCGCAGCAGCCAGGGCTGGGCCAGGCCAAAGCTGGAGGCCCCGTCCTGGTCTCGGGCGCCGGGCGTGTGGGCCCCGATCCGGCCCCTGCTGCTCCCCAGGGGGTGCCCACGAGTGCGGTTGGGACAAGCAGCAGGCACCCTGACACAGGACACGGTGTCCCCAGTGTCCCCCGCCGCGCCACCATCCTCCCTCCTGCCTTGGGTGCCTCCTCTCGTGTCCCTGGGAGGGCTCTGGGCTCACCCGTGTGGGCTCTGGGCCGGCCCCCCCTTTTCCCTTTTTTTTATAAAGATTTATTTACTTATTTGAAAGAATTACACAGAGAGAGAAGGAGAGGCAGAGAGAGGGAGAGAATCTTCCATCCGCTGGGTCACTCCCCAGTTGGCCGCAATGGCTGGAGCTGTGCTGATCCGAAGCCAGGAGCCAGGAGCTTCTTCCAGGTCTCCCACGTGGGCGCAGGGGCCCAAGGACCTGGGCCATCTTCTGCTGCTTTCCCAGGCCACAGCAGAGAGCTGGATCGGAAGTGGAGCAGCCGGGACTGGAACTGGCGCCCACATGGGCTGGCAGCTCTGCAGGCGGTGCCCTTAATGCTATGCCACAGCGCCGGCCCTGGGCCAGGCCCTTTGAGCCGTGCCTGCCCTGTAGTCTCCGCGTGTACTGACCAGACCAGAGTGGGGGGGTCTTGGCTGTTGGCTGCCCCCAGGGGGAGCCCCACGACAGCTGCTCCGCCCACTTTGCTGAGCACGGTGCATGCGGTCGGGCCCCTCAGGTTTGTTCCCTGGGAGGCCTGTTCTGGGGTCCCCTGCTTCAGGGTCTGAAGGAGCAGCCCCTCCCTCCGGCCCTGGAGAGAGGGACCCGCTTGTCTGCCAGGCCGTGACCTCCTGGGGCGGCGTGGGGGCGGCGTGGGCATTGAGGGCTGCTCTGCCCGCAGGTTTCAGAGGAGTGTGCTGGACCTCTCTCTCCAATGGCGCTTTGCCAACCTGCCCAACAACGCCAAGCTGGAGATGGTGCCCGTCTCCCGGAGCCGCGAGGGGCCCCAGAACACGGTAGGGTGGCCCCCAGAGGGTCCCAGCCCAGGCCGGGGCGCAGGATGGGTCCGCAGCTGGGCCTGGGGAGGCCGGGGGAGGGGGGGCTCGGCAGGCAGGGGTGCCAGGACCCGGGCTGCCGTTCGGCCGCGTCCTCTGCGTTCGCGATTTCGTTTGGATTTGTGGCCTCCGCCTCCCTCAGCAGCGTTTGCCTCGGCCTGATGCTCCGGTCGTAGAACCCCAGCCCCACAGAGGGTGTGTGGACGCCGGGCAGAGCGCCCGTGCTCTCCTGGCTAGGCTGCAGCCCTCACCAGGCCCAGCCTGGCGGCCGTGTTGGCTCCACGGCTTCCCGGTAGCTTTCATCCTTTGTTTTTTTTAGAGTATTTTTATTATTTTGGAAGACAGGACGGCAGAGGGAGAGAGTGGGTGAGAGAGCTCTCCCAACCAGTGGTTCACTCCCCGATGCCAGCAACAGCCAGGAGCCAGGAGCTCCGTCCTGGTCTCCCACTTGGGTGCGGGGGCCCCGCTGCCACCCACTGCCTCCTGGGGGAGCGTCAGCAGGGCGCCGACTCCCGGGTGCGGGCTGTGGGCGTCCTGGTGGCCGCCGCTCCCCACAGCTGTTAGGTCTTGGGGACTGCAGGGGATGGGGGTTCCGCAGATGGAAGCAGGGACCCTGGCTGGTCCCGTTGTGACGGTGCGTGCTCCCACCCCTCTGGAGGCGGGTTCCAGCCCACAGAGGAGGGCCTGGGCCGATCCCCACTCCTTCAGCACCCGGCAGCACAGGCCCTGGGAAGCAGCGGTGCTGGTTGGGGGCCTCTGCCCACGGGGGACCTGGATGGACCTGGATGGAGGTCCTGGCCCCGGCTGCGGCAGGCACTTGGGCAGTGAGTCAGGGGAGGGCAGCTGTCTGTCTGTCCGTCTTTCCCTCAGTCTGCCTGCCTGGCTGCCTCTTGAATGAATTAAAAACAAAAGACCGAGAGGCTCCGCCCGGCAGTGCGGGCAGCGGAGCCCACAGGCGTCCACACTGGGGTCTTTATCCGTCGTGACTGTGGTGCTCGGCGGCTGCCTGGAAGGGACCCTGGCTCCCCTGGGGGTCCTCAGGGCGCAGGGCAGGCGCCGCGTGGCGTGCTGGTGTGGAACCCCTGAGGCTGGGGTCCTGCGAGGGAGAGAGGTTTGTTGGCTCAGTGTGGAGGTGCACCAGCACCGGTTTGCTCCTGGCGCAGCTCTGGGCAAGGCGTCACAGCAGGGGTGGGGGGCAGGGGGAGGGGCCGGTTTGTGCCCGCCCACTGACACCCCATTGCGTGGGGAGAATGGAGCCCCAGGCGACTCAGGTGTGTCCTCAGCAGGGGAGGTGGCCCTGTGTGGCTCTGCCTGCTGGCACTCGGCAGGGGACCAAAAGGCCACTGTCCACCTTTAGGTCACAACCTCATAGTTCTGTTTGGGGGTGTATTTATTACGTCTAGGTTTAAAATGTCTTAAAAATCTGATTTAGGTAATTAGCAATGGAGTATTTAAAAATTCTTTTTACAAGAAAAGTGACTTGACTTCAGAGGCAGAGCCAGAGACAGACGGAGCCCCGGTTCACGGCTGCGCTCCCCACGTGCCTGCGCCGGCGGGGGCTGGGGCGCCATCCAGGGCGCCCACAAAGGTGGCGCCGCAGAGAGCCGTCACCGCTGCTTCCCAGGACGTGCAGGGAGCTGGACCCGGGGCACAGCGGGGTGCAGGCTGCCTCACCGGCGCTCAGCCGCTAGGCCGGATGCCGGCCCCGTCGAGAACACGTGTTCCTGGGGTGCCGTGTGGTGTCTCCTGGGGTGAGCACCTCTCTCCAGACGTTAGTTTATTTTCCACTCTGAGAGAGGCAGATGGAGGGCGTCAGTACCCGTCCGCGACCCTGGTCTCCTGCAGGGTGGCAGGGACCCCAGCACCCGTGCGTCGCCTGCCGCCGGCCTTGCTGGAGCGCGGAGCCAGCCGTGCGGATGTGGGCGCAGGGGCCTGAGCCTCCCGCCCGCGGCTGCAGCCGTTCTGACGGGCTTACGCGGTCACGTGCTCGTCTTCGAAGAAGCCCAGCTGGTGAGGCGTCAGTCACCCAGACCACGTAGCACGCACAGCTGCACGCTTCCCGGGCTGCCCGCGCTGCATGCACGTGTGGACACGCGTGTGCTGGCAGCCCCCACGGTGCCCCAGCTGAAGGTGTGGCCTCGCCCCAGGTCCGAATCGCCGTGCAACTGGAAGATGGCGCCAGGCTCCAGGGCGCCTTCTGCTCCGGCCAGACCCTCTGGGAGCTCCTCAGCCACTTCCCACAGACCAGGTGAGCTCTGCTCCGGTCGCTGGGGCCGCCGTGGCACTGCGCGGGCTGGGTGAGGGCTGGGCGCCGCGTTGTCTCCTGAGCACCCCGGGTGCACCGGCTGGCCTGGCCTCACTCCCAGGAGAGCGGGTGTCGCTCCTGCCCTCGTGGGCCCTGTGGCCTTGGGGTGGAGAGGGGAGAGGTGAGGCATTTCCCCGCCCGTGTGTGGCGCTGGGGGTGCTGGGGGTGCTCGGGTGCGAAAAGGCGGCCTCTTGGGGGAGGGGCCTCTTGGGGGAGGGGCGATGTTCTCCCCAGTGCAGCTGAAGCCGCAGGGCCCGGAGGGCGGGGCTGGGGCGTGTCCCCCACTGTGTGCTGGGTTCAGGGAGATGGGGGGTAGGGAGTGTGGGCCCCACCTGGCCCCCGACACCACCGCTGGACACACTGTGGCAGCTCCGGAAATGTCCCCAGGGAAGCTGCCACTCCGAGGGACATCCTGGTGCTCGGTGGGGGAGGGGTCCAGGGACTCCCCCAGGTCTGCACCCGGGGGGGTGCCAAGTAGGGGGGTGTGCCGGGGGGTGTGGGGGCTGGCAGGCCCCCGCCTGTGGCTCAGCACCCGGTGTAGTCGTGAGCCACCAGCACGCGTGACGGACGTCTGAGCTGGAGGGTGTCGGGCGTCTGTGAACGGTGCTCGGGGAGAGCAGGGTGCGGCGAGGACCCGGCGCTCGGGGGCTGAGAGCTCGGTGGCCCCGACGTGAGCTCAGGTGCTGTGGGCCAGTGGCCGCCGGGGCTCCGCAGGCGGGGCTGACCCTTGGACTGCGCTCCCGGCGGAGGCGCTGTGGCCGGGAGCCACTCGGGAAGCTGGGCAGGGCCTCTGCAGCTGGCCAGAGAACTTCCCAGAACACAAGGTGCAGGGTCTCAGAAGGCCTCTCGGGACGTCACTGAGAAGCGCAGGAGCCGGGGCCCTGAGTTCAGAGGGGCTGGTCCCGGCACGTGGCCGGAGCTCGGGGCCTGGCTCCCTGGAAGGGCCCAGCTGGGAGAGTGACTTTTCTGGAATATTCTCCGTCTTGCCAGAGCATTGTTGTCGAGCGTGGGTGGAGCACAGACGTCCTCGCACGTGAGACGTGAGGCAGCTGCCGCCACTGCACGGCCAGGACGGGGCCCGGAGTCCCGGGGTGGTCACCAGGACGGGGTGGGAGCAAGGGAGACTGACAGATGCCCCAGGAAGCACGAAGGGGGCCTGACTCTGGGCCGTGTGCAGGGTCCAGGCTCCTGGGGCGCGTGGGGTGCAGAGGCTGCAGGGCTGTCCTGAAGAACCCAGCTCCTGGGTGCTGGCATGCGCCTCGCCCGAGGCCGCCGCCCATCCTTGCTGACAGGGGCGTCACAGCCCCCTTCTGAAGGTTCCCGGGCTCTTCCCAGCTGTGGGCTCTGTTGGGGGATGAGGTGTCCTGCAGGCACCTGGGCAGCTGCTGTGTGTCCGTGAGGCCCTCACAGGCCCGAGCCGCCACCCACCCCAGTCCCTCCCTGAGGGTGAATGCAGGGGTGGTGCGTGGGCGGCTTTGCCCTGGGTGTGGGCAGGACACTGGCCAAGCCCCGGTGGGCGCGTCTCCACAGCCGGTCCACAGGAGAGGAGGGGGCCTTGGGGCAGCGGGGACAGCTTTGGGAATCCCCCAGTGTCTCCTGGAAAGGATGAGAGCCCGGGAGCAAGCTGAGTGCTGGGCTGTGTGGGGGCTGGGGGGGTGCAGGGTGGGGGGAGTGCAGGGGGCCAGGGGAGTGCAGGGGGGCCGGGGGGGCTGGGGGGTGCAGGGGGGGTGCAGGGGGCCGGGGGAGTGCCAGGTGGGGGGGGTGCAGGGGGCTGGGGGGGTGCAGGGGGCTGGGGGGTGCAGGGGGCTGGGGGGGTGCGGGGGGGCTGGGGAGTACCAGGTGGGGGGGGTGCAGGGGGCCAGGGGAGTGCCAGGTGGGGGGTGCCAGGTGGGGGCCGGGGGGGTGCGGGGGTGCTGTAGGGTAGTGCGGGAGGCTGGAGGGGAGTGCCAGGTGGGGGGGGTGCCAGGTGGGGGGAGTGCAGGGGGGCCAGGGGAGTGCCAGGTGGGGGTGTGTGGGGGCGCTGTAGGGTAGTGCGGGAGGCTGGAGGGGAGTGCCAGGTGGGGGGTGCCAGGTGGGGGGTGCCAAGTAGGGGGGTGTGCCAGGTGGAGGGGTGCCAAGTAGGGGGGAGTGCCAGGTGGGGGGTGCCAAGTAGGGGGGAGTGCCAGGTGGGGGGGTGCCAAGTAGGGGGGGTGCCGGGGGGTGCGGGGGCTGGGGACTGCAGCCCCCCTGCCGAGCGCCCTGGTAACGCGTGCTGTGGTGGAGGCTGCTGCCCACGGGAGGAGGTGACCCCTTTGCACGGGCGGCGCGGCAGAAGCAGCAGGTCCTGCCAGCATCGGGCACCGCCGGCCACGGGGAGTGCCGCAGGAGCCCCACAGAGGCCCGGGAGACCGCAGAGCTCTCCTGACCACACTAAGGGCTCGGTTACCTGCAGAAACGTGCTTGATTGAGGGGCCCCCTCCCCAGAGCCTTGAGGTCCCGCCCAGTGGGTGGTGGGTGTGAGTCTGGGCTGGGCCTTGCCGTTTCCATGGAGACAGTCTAGGGTGGTGTCAGCCGGGGTGTGCTGCGGGCAGGCTGTCCTGGGGGCCTCGCTCGGAGGGGGGCGCTGTGGGGTGCTTGGGCTGCTCGTGCTTGCTGCACTTTGATTGAAGATTTATCTTATTTGTGTGAAAGGCAGAGTGGGAGGGAGGGAGACAGAGAGAGGTCTTCATGCGCTGGTTCACGCCCCCAAATAGCCACAATGACCAGGGCTGGCGGAGCTGAGCCAGGAGCAGGGGCTCCTTCCAGGCCCCACGAGGGGGCAGGGGCCCAGGGGCTCGGCCGTGCTCGCCTGCCTTCCCAGGAGCACCCGCGGGGAGCTGGACCAGAAGTGGGCAGCCAGGACTCAGGCTGGTGCCCACAGGGGATGTGGTGCCACAGTGGCGGCCCCACGCCTGCCGCTCCTTGCTCCCGCGTGGGTACGTGGGGAAGGCAGACATCTGTGTGTCTGGCCTGGGGAGCTGGATCCCCGGACGGCGGCTGTGGCCTGCTCCGGGATGAGAAACTCCAGGAAGTGGTGGGGTTTTCGTCAGTGTTGAGTTAGAGAATCTGCCACAAACTTGCCCTTGGAGGCACCGGAGGCCCAGAGGCCCCGGGTGTGGCCCCCGCCAGCTGCGCCTGGGTGCCAGGCTGGGTTCTTCCCAAGCCCCTGCCCCTCTGCTGGTGAGGAGGGGGTCCCTGCCCACCGGTGGGCAGGGGCTGGAAGCGACCCCCCCCCAGATTGCCCGGGAGTCTCCACCGGAGCACCGCTGTGAGCTGTCACCTGCCGTGCGGGTCCCCGGCTCGGGCGCTCTGGCCGTGCAGCTGGCTGGCACGGCGGCCGGGGCGAACCAGCTGTCCGTGCGGACTCTGCTGCGTTGGAGGCTTCGGGACCCGCGGCCTCCCCAGTTTCCTCCCCGGCCCAGCTCCTCGCTTGCCTGGATCCTGCCTCCTGGCCCCAGGCATCCTGGCTGCGCCCCGCCCGGCCTCCGTGGGAAGCCACACAGGCCGTGGGGTCCGACGTGGCCCCGGTCTCCAGCTCTCTGGGGCGAGGGAAGATCCAGCAGCCTGTGCTCGCGGCCTCTCCCGGGGAACGCCCTCACCATGGGTGCTGGGGACAGCCTGCCAGCATGACGGGCGTCCTGGCGGGGGACCGCCCCTGCAGGCCCCCGGCTGCCATCCCTGTGCCCCGCCCCCCCAGCGCTCCCCTGTGCAGGTGGTCGGCAGCTGAGAATCAGGCATCTGTGAGCGCCCAGGTGTGTGCATGGTGGGGCCTGCCAGGCTCAGTGTGTACATGTGTGTGTGCGTGTGGGCACGTGTGCAGGCGGCCCCTGTGTGTGCACATGTGAGTGCAGGCCATCCTCATGTGTGCACACATGTGTGCACATGTGTGAGTGCAGGCCATCCTTATGTGTATCCATATGTGTGTGTAGGCTGTCCTCACGTGTGTGCACCTGTGTGTGTACACATGTGAGTGCAGGCCATCCCCGTGTATGTGTGCACACGTGTGTGTGGGTGCAGGATATCTTTGTGTGTGCACATGTGTGAGCGCAGGCTCTCCCCGTGTGTGTGTGTGTGTGTGCGTAGGCCACCCCCATGTGTGTCAGTGCAGGCTGTCTCTGTGTGTATGCGTGTGTGCAGGCCACCCCCAGTGTGTCAGTGCAGGCTGTCCTCACTTGTGTGCGCCTGTGTGGGAGTGCAGGCTGCCCCATGGGGGTGCGTGTGGTCTGCACATGTGTACGTGTGCGTGTGTGTAGCCTGTTCCCTGTGCGTGTTTGAGTACACACGTGCCGCAAGCTTTGTGCCGTCCTTAGCTCACTGCTCCTGTGCCTTCCGTCCCCACCGTGGTCTGAGGTCAGCCTGCCCACCTCCTCTGGACAGGGCCTGGCCTTGGGGCACCCTGCAAGGTGTGAGGGGCTTCTGCTTCGTGGCGAACGTTGCCACGGTGTGGGAGACAGACGGGCAGTGGAAGCCCCGCAGCTGGCAGTGGCACCCTGCAGCCCAGCCCAGCCCCTCAGACACCAGGCCGGGCGGGGGTGGGGCAGCACGATGGAGACCACCACTCAGAGCCTTGGAGCGGGGCCTGTGGCCCTGGGGTCCCTGACCCCGACCCTGTCGGAGCTGAGCTTCAGATGAAGCCCTGTGCAGGCCGGCTGGCTGGGCGGTCACTGTCACTGTCGCTGTCGCCAGCTGCCCGGCTGCAGCCCAAGGCCCTGTCCTTCCAGGGTTGGCCAGCGGCTGACCACCTCCTCCTGGTGTTTGTGCAGGGGTTCGGGGGGGCTGGGGCTGCCCCTGACGCTCCTCTGCCCCCGTCCAGGGAGTGCCTGCAGCAGCCGGGCGAGGTGACCCCCGTGTGCGTGTCCATGAGGGACGAGGTAGGTCCGCCGGCCCCCGCCCGTCTTCAGAGCCTCACGGAGCCCCGGTGACGTTTGCCTTTTCGGAGCCCGAGAGTCACAGAAGTGGTTTCGTTTTAATAAATATTTGCTCTGCTCTGGGTTTTGATCTTTCTCAGAGCGGAGCAGGCAGAGCGCCTGGCGAGGAGGCCCTGCCGCCCGCCGGCCCCGCCCTCCGCCGGCCCCTCCCGGCCTCACAGGGGCCTTTTGTTCCAGCCCTGGCCGCGCGCCCCTTCCTGGCCTGGGGGCGGGGCTCCCCGGGTGCCCCTGGGTGGAGGTTCCCAGCCCGGGGCCGTGAAGGGGGGACCTGGCTCAGAGCAGCGTCCACTCCCAGAGGAGATGGGCCTGACTGTTGGTGCTTGGCCAGGCCCCAGAGGGACCATCCCCTCTGCAGGCAGCTCCTTGGGTGGGCAGAGTTAGCTCAAGATGTGTCCAGCCCGGCCCCAGCCCTGGTGCCCTGAGAGGTGACCTGGGAGGATGGGCTCCCAGGCCTCCTGACCTCAGAGGCCTTCGGAGGGTGGGCTCCCTCCATAGTGGGTCTCAGGTGGCCACCAGGCTAGGATGAGCCTGACACAAGGAGCTGGCCTGGCCCTGCCACCTGGAACCCGAGGCTCCCCCAGTGTGGCCCTGAGAGGGGCCTGGGATGAGGCGTTGGGGGCCCCTCTCAATGCAGCCTGTCCTGGGGGTGGAGTTGGGGGGACCTGGGGCAGGTGGTTCTCTGCAGGGGTCAGCATCGCAGGACATCTGCCTGCGCTCCCTGAGGAGGCCGGGTGGGGCCTGTAGGGTGGCGGCCAGCAGAGGGTGTGGGGTGCTGCACGGGGCCCGGGGCCTGGCTGCAGGTGCGAGGGCCGTCTGTCTTGCAGGTGACTGGCGCAGCCGCCCTGCGGAGCACCACGCTACAGTCGCTGGGCCTCACGGGGGGCAGCGCCACCATCAGGTAGGGCCACGCAGCTGCCACGGTGTTTGGTTAAGGACTGGCCTCCTCGAAGGGGGGACAGGTGGAAATGTGCCCTGACCACAGAGCAGACCCACCCTCCGCGGGGAGGAGCCGGGGCGGGTGTCCTGGATGAGACCGGGGAGCAGAGCTGGGGCGGCGTCGCCCTCATTGTCTGCACCCCGACAGGTTTGTCATGAAGAGGGTGGACGCTGAGGGCGGGCCACAGACCGGGGCCGCCAGGAGCAAGACCCCAGCAAGTCCAGCTGACCAGGTGGCCGGTGGTCCCCTGCCCCCCTTGAACTCTGAGGAGCTGAGCTGCGGGGACCTGAGCCGTCAGGGGGAGGCAGGCACCTCGGGGGCCTGGCACACAGACGGCCCAAAGCCAGCGGACGCTCCGGCAAAACAGAGTGTGCAGGAGCCCGGCCCCGCCCGCTTTGTGCCTTTCTCTGGCGGGGGACAGCGGCTGGGGGGCCCATCCGGGTCCGGGCGGTCTCTGACGTCGCCTTCAGCCAAGCTGCCCACGTCCGCCTCCAGCCCTGGAGGCCCCTCCAAGCCAAAGAAGTCCAAACCCGGCGAGGAGCCCCCGCAGGAGCCAGAGCCGGTAAGGGTGTGCGGGCCTCGGCCGGGCGGTGGTCTGGCCGGCAGGTGTGCCTGTGCTGCCCAGGCCACTGTGGGGAGGCTGGAAGGTGCGCGAGGCTGAGCAGACCCGGGCTGTGTACGGGGCGGCCTGGGCTCAGACGTGGCGTCCTCGTCGTGAGAGAGCAGCCCCCGAGCCGTGCCAGAGCTGGGCCGCAGCCGGCCGTCCCCCAGGGTGGCTATCTGTGCACACGGTAAAGCAACACCGTGGCTGTCACCCTGAGCCCCTTCATCCCCAGGCTTTTCCGTCCTGGTGGTGCCCACCCTCCCACGCCTCTGGTCCCAGGGGGCAGGGGCCAGATGGGGGGTGCAGCCCCCAAGAGCAGGGACCCCACCCTGAGGAGTGGTCCACCTGGGCAGGTGTCCCAGCGCATCAGCATCCACCCCGTGTCCCCTCTGCTGGCCGCAGCCACGTCGGCGCCTGTGGGGGGCGGGGGGGGATGTGGTTCTCGCCGGCACGGCCGCTGTGCACCGTTCGGCCGGCTCCTCAGGACATCGCCAGCTGGCGCCGTTCCCAACAGAGCTGTGGCCCAGGTCAGCCGTGGTGTGTGGTGTCCTGTGCCCGGGCTCCTCTGGAGCAGATAAACCTCACTGTGGATTTTCCCAGAGAGCCTCATGGGCGCTTGCTCTGTGCCGGGCAGGACCTGAGCCTGTCGGCCCCACTCAGCGGCACGGGCCCCTCCCGCGCTGCGCCTTCTGCTGGGGGCACCGGGGAGGAGCCTGTGTGCCCTGAGCCGATGAGGAGCCCATGGCTGGGCGGGGCCAGGACCCTGATGCCCTGGGGACTCTGAAGGGAAAGGGGCTGGAAGAGTGACCGCCTCCCCAGGGCAGCCTCGTGCCCACGTGGTCTGTGCTGCACCTGCCCCCCCCCGCCGGGTCTGGTGGGAGCAGCTCAGCAGGTGGCATGGGGCCCTGAGGACCTTCCCCCGAGTGACATCGGTCATGACACCGCTCGGTACCCCACCCTCTCTTTTAAGTAAGGTATCACTTTTTTTTTTTTTTTTTTTTTTTAAAGATTGATTGATTGATTTGAAAGGCAGAGTGACACAGGCAGAGAGAGGTCTTCCATCTGCTGGTCACTCCCCAGATGGCTGCAACGGCCAGAGCAGGAGCTTCCTCCAGGTCTCCCGCGCGGGTGCAGGGCCCAGGGACTTGGGCATCTTCCACCGCTTTCCCAGGCCACAGCAGGGAGCTGGATGGGAAGTGGAGCGGCCGGGACTGGAACTGGCGCCCATATGGGATGCCGGCCCTGCAGGCAGCGGCTTTGCCCACTAGGCCATAGCGCTGGCCCCTCCCACCCTCTTTTAAGATTTTATTTATTTACTTAAAAGACAGAGCGACTGGGGACAGAGAGAGAGAAAGGGACCTTCGTCCTCCTGTCCTCTCCCCAAATGGCTGCAGCAGCCAGGGCAGGGCCAGGCGGGAGCGGGGAGCCAGGAAGTCCATGCCAGCACCCCCAGCGCGTGGGCCGTCCCCGGCTGCCTCCTCAGGCGCGCTGACAGGAAGCCAGATAGGAGCCGCGCAGCCGGAGCTGAGCTGGGCCAGGCGTGGGTGCCGGTGCTGCCGACAGCGGCTTAGCCGGCCTCCCGCTCCCTCTCTCCTGCTTACAGGAAGCACAGAGGCTTTTTGTGAGGGAGGTTTTCGTATCACAGCCAAACGGAAGGAAGGGCCAGGGACTGCCTGCAGCCTCCTCGGCGACTCCACAGCCCTGCCCAGCGTCGGCGGCTGCGCTGCCCCTCGGGGCTCCCGGCAGGGCCTGCCCAGGGGTGGAGGCAGCGTGGATCCCCACCACGGGGCCCCACGAGGTGTCACTGCCCTCCCGTTTGTCCCCCCCAGCCCCTGGTGACGTCCGGTCCAGGATGCCCACCTGGTGCTCCACTCCCCAGCGGCTGCCTGTTTGCCACGTGCCCACGCGCGGGCGTACGACTTCCTGGCACTGCCACTGCCGGGCCCTGCAGACCGTGCTGGCCAGGTCCTCGATGCCCTCCGCCTGCCTCCTGCAAGGGGCTCATGGTGTTGGTCGGGTCTCTGGCTGCACCCACCCAACTTCTCTTCTCTCGGCGTCTTAGAACGTCTCCCAGCAGCCTCTGCTGTTTCTCCTCCAGGCGTCGTGTGGTCGGCAGCCCTCCCGGGGGCGCCTGTGCAGGGTGTGAGGCAGGGGCCGGCCGGGTGAGCTTCCGCCCACTGCACACAGGTCCTGGCTGTGGCTTCGCAGGTCGGGGGCCAGCACCGCCTCCTGTCTCACTGCAGTGTCCCGTGGCCTCGCCTCTGCCACAGGCCCCTTGCTACTTTGAACTTTGCCCTGTCTGCAGGGACCGCGGGTCAGGTGGGCTCCCTGGCCCCACGTCAGAGCAGCGCAGGGTGGCCATGCTGTGAGGGGTGTGAGGGAGCAGGGTGAGGGGGAGAGGCAGATCGGGGCCTCCGTGCCGGCTGGCGGCTCCCAGGGACCCGGATGGTGGGGAGAGGGGCGTGTTCACGGGCCAGCTGCTCCGGGAGCTGTGTGGACGGCTCTGCCTCCGGGTCTGCTGGTGAGGTGAGGGCGGGCTGGGCCTGTCCTGTGGAGCCTGGGTCACGCGGACTCCGCCTCCCTGGGCGGCAGTTTGGACATCTGCCTCCGCGCCTGGGTGTCACTCTGGGGCGCCTGAGGAGGCTGAGCAAAGAGCCTGGCCCTGCTCCCCTCACCCCTCACCCCTCACCCTGCTCCCCTCACCCCTCACCCTGCTCCCGCACACCCCAGGGGCTGGAGGATGAGGGGTAAGGCCCAGTGCGTGTCAGGACAAGCAGCCTGGTGCCGGGCACGCTGGTGGCAATCACCCGTGTGGCCGCGGTGCTGGGGTCGCCATGCTGGCTGCGTGGCCATCTTGCTGGGGTCACCGTGCTGGTTTCTGGGGCCTGTCTGGCCCACCCTGGCCACTTGTAGGGGAAGCCCACATACCCAGGAGTGTGGTCAGTTGGGCTCCGCCGCCTGCAGTGGGAAGGCTCACTGCCTTCCCGCCCACCTGCATCCTTGCCCAGCAGGTGGGTGAGGGGTGGGGTCGGGGGCCCTGGAGAGTCCCTGCATCCTCCAGCAGTGGTGCCCGCCCCTCTGCCTGTGGTGGCCCAGGGTCAAAGGTTGACTCCTGCAGGCCTGTGCTCCCTGGGGACCCTGAGGTGAGAGGGACAGGAACAGCCAAAGGCACCGGGCCTCAGGCCACTGCTCCTGTCTGCTGGGCGGGGCCTGGCTCCCCAGGGCTCCTGGGTGCGGGGCTGCAGGGCAGGCGGTCCCTGTCGGGGACAGGATCCCAGCGCCGCCCGGAGGCTGCCTGTGCCCCCGCCCGCGCCCGCCGCGGACCTTTGATCTGGCGCCCGGGCGGCTGATTGACGAGCAGCGTGGCTGCCGCCGCCCGTGCCTCCCGCCTCCGTCACGAGGGCCGGCCACATACGTCTGCTTTGTGTCCCTTTTCAGTCCAGGGGGAGGGGGAGGGGAGGGAGCAGAACTTTGCTGGGGACTTCAAAGGACCCTTCAGTAATCAGAAAGTTTCCAAGTTTCCCATTAATGCTCTGCCGTGTGTGGTTTTTGGATTTAAATAAAGAGCCAGGATGAAATACAGGAGGTCGCGCGGCCGGCGGCGCACAGCCCGCGTGGTGCCTGCCTTTGAAGTCGGGCATTAATTATTAGAAGGTAGCTTTACTGCCATCAGAACCGGGCGCGGGAGAGGCCGGGGCTGCCCGGCGCCCCCTGCCCTGGCCTTTGAAGTGCCTGCGCCGCCCCCCACGCCCGCGGCCTCCCAGCGGCTGGCACGAGGGCCGTCCCTGATCAAAGGCCCTCGGCCTGCCCACCCCGCCCCCTCACCCACGCCCCTGCCCACGGGCAGCCGGCCGGCACGCTCTGCTCCGCGGGTTAGCTCATGGGAGACTGGAGGGGGCCGGCTGGGCCCGGGGCCTGGGTGTGAGGCGGGTGCAGCCCGAGCTTGGTGAGGCTCCCTGCCTGCCCGGCTGCCTCGGGCGGCCGTGTCCTGCGGGCCTGGAGCCTCGCCTCGCCTCGCCTGCCTGGCTCCTGCCTCTGCTGGCCCAGCGGTGTGGACACCCCGGGTGTAAGGGCCAGGCCTCAGGCGGGAGCAGCGGTGTGGACACCCGGGTGTAAGGGCCAGGCCTCAGGAGGGAGCAGCGGTGTGGACACCCGGGTGTAAGGGCCAGGCCTCAGGAGGGAGCAGCGGTGTGGACACCCGGGTGTAAGGGCCAGGCCTCAGGAGGGAGCAGCGGTGTGGACACCCGGGTGTAAGGGCCAGGCCTCAGGCGGGAGCAGCGGTGTGGACACCCGGGTGTAAGGGCCAGGCCTCAGGAGGGAGCAGCGGTGTGGACACCCGGGTGTAAGGGCCAGGCCTCAGGCGGGAGCAGCGGTGTGGACACCCGGGTGTAAGGGCCAGGCCTCAGGAGGGAGCAGCGGTGTGGACACCCCGGGTGTAAGGGCCAGGCCTCAGGAGGGAGCAGCGGTGTGGACACCCGGGTGTAAGGGCCAGGCCTCAGGCGGGAGCAGCGCTGGGTTTGAAGCCTGGGGACCCCCAGCAGGTGCTCGTGCCTCAGCGAGTGTCCTGGGGGCACGGGCGCCCGTGGTGGGTGCTGTGGCTCCGGCCCTCACTCCCTTTGTCCGCCAGCTGGGGTGTGGGAGGCGTGAGTAACGCGTGTCTACGGGAACCCCGGCATGGGCCGCCCTTCCTCACCGCACCCCTGCCCGCCAGGCCCGGGCCGGGCTCTGCTCCTGGACGCAGTCAGGCACCAGCAATCCCAGAAGCTGCATGGGCCTGAGGGTGGCTGCAGGTCCTGGACGGCTGTGTCCTCTTCCTCCCCGGCCCCGCGGTGAGCTGTGGTTTGTGGGGAGGTTGTAGGCCCAGGGGTCAGCGCCTGCGCTGTCTGGCATGGGCTCTGCGTAGACCCCTCGAGTCCAGGGGGCGCCTGGCCTGGGTGAGGTGGGGGCTGCGGTGGGGGTCTGCAGGGCCTTGGCCTGCCCAGGCACGGGTGTGGGAGCCACGGCGTCCTGGGCATCCCCGGCCCAGGCCTCCCTGAGTAACTGGGTCAGAGGCCAGCCGGGCTGGGGGCGGGGATGGCGGAGCTGGCAGAGCCCAGCCTGAGGTCACCCCGCGGAGGTTCTGCGTTGTCTCTGCGTGCGTCACCGCCTCTTGGAAAATCACCGTGGAGCAGAGCAGACCTGGGGCTGCCGACTCGCGGTGTGAGCAGGCTGCTGGGTGGCGGGCTGGACGCCGGCCCCTCCCAGGGCCTCCCGAGCCCTCCCCTCGCCTGGGCTCCCACTCTGGGCCGGCTGGGGTCGGGGGTCGCTGAGTTTGCTGGCCCCTGGAAGGCAGCCTTCCGCCTGCCCAGTATCTGCAGGCCTTCCCCTCTGCCCAACCTGGACTGGGGCTGTGGCCCTGGAGTCCACCCAGCCTGGTGTGCAGGAGACAGGGCAGGGTCCGAGAGCAAGTCCCTCCTCCCCCTGGACCCCGCGTGCCTCGGTTTCCTGGTCTGTCCAGCAGTCCTGACACCCCTGCCCGGGCCTCGGCTCCAGCCTCACTTTCTTGGCCGTCCCTTGCGGACTCCTTGGAGGCCTGACCGATGAGGACCCGCGGTCGGGGAGGAGTCGGCCCCGTGCTGGGGCAGGCTGTCCACGCCGGGCAGAGCAGAACATGGGAACAGCCTGGGCTGCTCCCGGCAGAACCCCGGCCCTCGCCGTCCTGCCGTGGCCCTGGGGTGGGGGTCTCACGAGGAGACCTGGGGTCCCCGGCTTCTGGAAGGCGCCGTCCTGGCTCGCGGTCACGCTGGGTTGGACCAGCGCTGGCCCAGAGCTCCAGGGGACATCTGCCAGCCATGCTCATCTCAGGCTGGAGCCTTGTCCAGCCGAGAGTGCTGGAGGGCACAGCAGGGCAGCCCCAGTCACTGTCCCCCAGATCTGGCGCGTCCGGCGCACACTGGTGTGAGGCAGACAGGCAGGACTGCGGCACGGGCAATGCGTGGCCCAGCGAGACAAAACAGGATCGGGGGACAGTGTGGGTGGTGGCCTGGGCCAGTGCCACGGCCTCCCGCAGCAGGCCCCACGTGAGATGCTGGCGAGCTGTCGGCGGGGACGCGGTGAGGCCGTCCCAGCACGGGCCCCAGGCGCCTCCCAGGCAGTGCGTGTTGGCGCGCGTGACCGGGACGGTGAGTGCTGCAGGCACGCTGGGAGGTTCCCTGCTGTAGGCGCCCCCTTTTCTGTGGAGTCAAAATCTCCCAAACTGGGGGGGGAGAGAAGCCAGGGGCTGGGGGGTGCCAGGTTCCTCTGCTCCCACACCCCGGCCCCTGGCCACCTCTCCCTCCCGCGTAGCTGGGGCGGCCCTCCCTGGGTTGCTGCGTGTGCCTGTGACTTCCCAGTGATGTCTCCTCCCCAGGCCTCTGTTCTCCCTCCAAAAACGCCCCCATAAATCCACCCAGGAAGGGAGCCACACGGAGCGCCTGTCGGTGCCGACAGAACAGCAAATGAGGGCCAGACAGCCGGGCAGGGCGTCCCAAGTAAACAGGGCTCAGCACGGCTCGGGGACGCCCTGCCCGGCCTCCTGGGCCGGCCCTGTGCCCTGGGAGTGCCCGCAGCTGCCACAGGCCAGGTCCCCACTGTCCCCTGGGCCTCAGTGCCCGCCTGCCCAGCCCAGCCCTGGCTCCTCCTCTCGCATTCGGTGCAAAGTGGCCACACAGCGCCTCTTCCCGGGGAGGCCCCTTGGCTGGCGTTCACCCGGCGCAGGCTCTGGGCACTGAGTCCTTGGCTCCCGCAGGGCTCGCTGCCCAGGTGGGGGCACCCAGGGAAGGCCGTGCAGGCTGTGCTGGCCCTCACCGGGCACGGGGCTTCCCCAGTAGACCAGACGCTGGCCGGGGGAGGGGGCAGGGCTAGCGTGGGTCCAAGACGAGAAACCCAGCATTCCCTGGGCTGCTGTTCCCAGCACCCTGTGCAGGCTGACATGCCAGCGGCCGACCTCACTGGTGGCTCCTGGAAGTACCTGGGAGAGACCAGAGTGGCCACAGGACCCTCGGGACAGCCTGTGTGGTGGTCAGGCTTGGCCCCCGACTGCACAACAGTGGGGACAAAAGGTCAGCCTTGGGCCGGTCGTCCAGGGAGGCTCTGGGGCAGGAGAGCCTGCCCTGTGGCCAGGACCTTGCACCTGAGCACCTGGCCTGGACACTCGCAGACACATGCACGGCCTGCCCCGGCCTCCCCCGGACAGAGACACTATGGCTGTGGGGGGAGGCCTGGCGCCTGCCATCTCATAAAAGCTTTGGTGGCTGCGAGAGGGGGATGGGCTTTGAAGGGGCAGAGGGCCCAGTCAGCCACCTGTAGCCCTGCTGCCCTGGGACAAGGTGTGGCGCAGCCATGTGCTGGGCACGCTGCAGGGACCTGTCCAAGCCAGGTGTCAGGCGTGGCCGGGGGCAGGGGCCTGGGCCTGGGCTGAGCCCTGGCCCGGCTGTGTGGAAGGCTCGGGGCCGGGGGCTGCTCCTGCAGACCATCCCAGGGGCCCCTCCCCCGGTGCCGCTCCGCTTGCCTTGTGAGCCCCAGCAGCCCAGCGCCGCCTCGGTCAGGCCTGGCTCCAAGGGTGGCCTCAGCCCCGAGGTGTCCAGCCCCCGGGCACCGCAGGCGGGGCGGGCGCTGCCTTGTAATTTCCCTCGCTGTTGATGCCAATTAGGAGTGACACGTCTCTTCCCACGTCCCCAGGGTGGGCAGCGGGAGGGGCCGGCTGCCTCCCTGGGGAGAGAGGGTGGAGCCAGCTGGGGCAGCGGCGGGGGCATCGGGGGCAGCGGGACTGGGGCTCTGGCCAACACTCTAATTTGGGGCTCTGCTGCCCCTCCCCTCTGGGGAGCCCCTGACGTGGCTTGGACCAGGGCCCCTGCTGCCGGGGACGGGATCGCTGCCCCCTGCCCGTCCCCAGTCCCTGGCAGAAGGGGCTCACTTGTCACAGCTGCCGAGTTGGCAGGGGTGGGGGGAGGGGCCCCCTGGTCCCAGCCCAGGCCCTTGTGCCCCCAGCCCGTGGACCGGGATGCTGTGGTGTGCCACCCGGACCTGGAGGATCTGCTGCAGGCCTGGCCGGCCGAGCTGCCCGACGAGTTCTTCGAGGTGACAGTGGACGATGTCCGGAGACGCCTGGCCCAGCTCAAGAGCGAGCGGTGGGTGCCCAGCCCCATCGTCTCCCTCCGTGGTGGGCCGGCTCTGGGTGCCCAGGTCCTCGGTGCCCTCCGTGGTGGGCCGGCTCTGGGTGCCCAGGTCCTCGGTGCCCTCCGTGGTGGGCCGGCTCTGGGTGCCCAGCCCCATCGTCTCCCTCCGTGGTGGACCGGCTCTGGGTGCCCAGGCCCTCAGTGCCCTCAGCAGCCCCTGGGCTGGGGGTGCCCGGATGGAGGCCTTCACCTGTCACCCCTCCCCACCACAGGCAGCGCCTGGAAGAAGCCCCGCTGGTGACCAAGGCCTTCAGGGAGGCCCGGATGAAGGAGAAGCTGGAGCGTTACCCCAAGGTAGCGGGGGGCTGCGCGTCTGTTCACAGCCGGCCCCCTCCTAGAGCCTTTTTTTTTTTTTTTAAGATTTTATTTATTTAAAAGTCAGAATTACACAGAAGGGGGGGGGCTTCCATCCGCTGGTTCACTCCCCAGCTAGCTGCAAGGGCCAGAGCTGCACCGATCTGAAGCCAGGAGCTTCTTCGGGTCTCCCACATGGACGCAGGGACCCAGGACTTGGGCCATCTTCTGCTATCCCAGGCTACAGCAGAGAGCTGGATTGGAAGTGGAGCAGCCGGGACTTGAACCGGCGCCCACAGGGGATGCCGGCAGTGCAGGTGGCAGCTTTACCTGCTACCCCACAGCACCGGCCCCCTGTATAACCTTTAAAAGCGTCCTCTTTACTCCTGAGAAGCAGAGATGGGGCCGGAGCGAGGGAGAGGGACTCATCCCGCACCCTGGTACATGCCCTGGAAGCCACCATGTCTGGCGCTGGGCCGTGCCGGAGCCTGGGCCGCGACCTCCATCCTTGTGTCCCGAGAGGGGGCGGGGACCCGCTGCTTGAGCTGCCCCCTGCAGCCTTCCTGGGTGTGCAGCAGCAGGAAGCTGGGTCAGAAGCCACTGTGAGGTGTGGGGCGCGGGGTCCAAGTGGTACCTTAACCCACCAGGGCCCACGCCCACCCCACAACAAGAACTTCATGTTTTTAACAGGTTTATCGGGGCCGGTGCTGTGGCGCAGTGTGTTAGGCCAGGGCCTGCAGGGCCAGCATCCCTTATGGGCACCAGTTTGAGTCCCAGCTGCTCCACTTCCAACCCAGCTCCCTGCTAATGGCCTGGGAAAGCAGTGGGAGACGGCCCACGTGTTCAGGGCCCTGCACCCACGAGGGAGACCTGGAGGAAGCTCCTGGCTTCAGCCTGGCCTAGTGCTGGCCCTTGCAGCCATGTGGGGAGTGAACCCAGCAGATGGAAGACCTCTCTCTCTTTCAAACAAGTGAATAAATCTTTAAAAATGACTGACTTATGTTTGTAAGGGCAGAGTGACAGATCTTCTGTCTGCTGGTTCACTCCCAAATCCCACAACAGCCAGGCTGGAGCCAGGAGCCAGGGACTCCACTCGGATCTCCCGTGTGGGTGCAGGGTCCAGGCACTTGGCCCTCCCCTCCTTCAGGCCACAGCAGGGAGCTGGGTGGAAGTGGCCTCCGACGTGCGGCCTTGTGGTGCCCTGGGCCTCAGGGCTGTGCCTGCGACAGGTGGACAAGGGCGGGGGCCTCGGCGTCCTCAGCCTCCAACCGGGGCTCTCGGCTGCCACTGTGGCAAGGAGTGGTGGGGACAGCCAGGGGCGGGCAGCCTCCCCGTGCTGCCCTGCTGACCACTCCGCTGTCTGGCCCAGGTGGCTGTGAGGGTCCTGTTCCCTGACCGCTACGTCCTGCAGGGCTTCTTCCGCCCCAGCGAGACAGGTGAGCGCCCTGAGAGGCCATGGCCGGGCTGGGGCCCGGGGAGCCACAGCTGGTCGGGGAGGCAGCGCTGTCGCCTGGCCCGCGGCAGAGCTGAGGGTGGCGGTGCCTGGCGGGGGTCCGGGTGGGCCGGAGGGGGCTGAGTGCACCCCCAGGCTCAGCTCCAGCCCCCCTGTGCAGTGGGGGACCTGCGGGACTTCGTGAGGCACCACCTGGGGAACCCCGAGCTGCCGTTCTACCTGTGTGAGTTGCCCTACCTGCCGCAGGGAATGCTGGGAGGGCGGGAGAGATGCCTCTGGAGCCCCCCTGCCCAGTCCAGGCTTGGTGGGGAGGGGCCTGCAGGTGCTTCCCTAGCCCGCCCCCTCTTGGGGTCCGGAGCAGTGGGGGTGGGGCAGGGCTGGGACCCCTGAGCCCCGGGCAGGGGGTCCACTCACCTCCTAATGGAGACGTCACCTTCTCCCCGCAGTCATCACACCTCCCAAAACCGTGCTGGACGACCACACGCTGACGCTCTTCCAGGTACCGACCCCCGGGTGCCGGGTGGGGCCCTGGGGGGCGGGGGCCAGGGAGGGGCGTGGGCAGCCGCCTGGCTGGCAGTAAAGCCTGTTGGAGCCAGGGATTCCGTTTCAGACGGTGCTTCCAGCCCCCTCCGCGTCCTGCCTGGCCCTGGAGGGGCTGAGCTGGGGCCGGGGCGGCGGGGGGGGGGGGGGCAGCTCCCTGCCCAGACCCTGAGGGAGGGGCCTGAGGGGCGGGCAGGGCTGGTGGGGAAGCTGGGTGCCTTCAGCTCAGGGTGCCTGACAAGCCCCAGGGGCACATGGGGCCAGGCTAGGGGCTGTGCCGTGGGTGGGCCCCCTTGCCAGCTTCTGCCTGCCCCACCCTTGGGCCCCTGCTCCGGGGACCACCCCCCCCCCCCGCCACAGACGGGGCAGTTGGGGCCCCAGCAGGAAGGGCTGGGAGCTCGGCAGGGTTATGGGAAGGAGGGGCCCGGCGGTGGGAGCGCAGGCCCAGGACCCCCTCCCTGGCTGCCTGGCCTGGACATAAAACAGCCAACCTGGAAGATGCCTTGGGACGGGCCCTCCCCCCCATCAGGAGGCCTCACAGCCCGGGGTGCCACCGCCGGTAGCAGCCGTCTCCGTTCATCAGCCAGGGCTCAGCCCCAAGCCCCAGGGCCCCGCGCCGGCTCACGGAGCTGGCAGGGCCAAGGGAAGGAAGCTGCCTCCCTCCACAGGGCGGGCGCCTGCTTCCACGTCTGGCGGGGCTGTGTGTGGCTGCCGCCGGCTGACCCGGGCCCAGAGAGTGACCACAGGGGACACGGTACAGAGGCCCGGCCCCTCAGCGAACCCCCTAGTGGATCCGTCCATCAGTGCACGGGCAGGGGCCCGGGAGGCCTCAGCCGGGCAGCAGCCCCCGCTCGCCGGGAGTCGCCTTGGTGTTTTGCGGTGTCTGCAGGACAGCTCCCAGCACCTCTGTCCTGCTGACCCTGCCCTCGGGTGCTCGGGTGTTCCCAGGGCCAGGGGTGCCTTGGAGGACTTGGCCACATCTCCCCATCCTGCTCTGCGCCCGCTGCTGTGGGGGGGCGGGCAGAGGGGCCGGCTGGGCGCCGGCTGGAGCAGCCGCTGCTTCCTGGTGTCACGGCTCTGGCCGCTCCTTCACTGGGGCACTGAGGGGATGCCCTGCTGGGTGCCAGCCCCCACAAGGGAGCAGGTGTGGCCCAGCTCCAGGGGCCTCTCCCCTCCTGTGGGCCTTGGGGTGGAGGCCCTCATTGCTGGCTGCCCGGTCCTGGGCGAGGCTGACCCCGGCCGCCACAGTGTGCCTGCCCTCCACGGCTGTGCGGCTGTGAGGAGGTGGGCGGCTCCTGGGGGCCTGGGGAGGTGGAGACTCTGCCATAGCCTGTGTCCTCTCCTGGACTTCACCTGACCCGTCACCTCTGCCCAGCACCCAGCCCTCACACGCCCTCTGCCTGCTGCCCAGCTGGCCTGGGGCACCCCTGTGGTGGACGCCCCGTCCAAGGGGCAGAGAGGGCGACCTTGCGCTGGGCAGCCTTGGAAGCCCTTCCTGGCGGCAGTGGGGCTGCACAGTGGCCGGGGAGGGAGCAGCCGGTGTCCAGGCAGCACGGCAGCTGTGTCCATGGGGAGTGGGAAGGTGACGTGGGGTGTGGGCGGGGCCTGGTCCTGATGCCGCCTCCCCTCTCCCGCCCCGCGCCTCCCTGGGTGGTGCCAGGTGAGGGCCCGCCTGCAGCTGTAAGGAAAACCCGGTGCTGCGCCTCCTTGGGTGGTGGGGTGCAGAGGGGGCTGGGCTTCCTGGGGCGCCCACGCATGGCGGCTGCCCCGGTATCTGACGGGAAGGCAGGAGCTGGGGTCCAGCCACTGCCGCTGCCGCTCCAGGGGCACCCGGCGGCCCCGCCCAGCCCCCAGGCCTCCTGGTGAGGCTTTGGTCCCAGGCGGCACAATTGGGTTTTCAAAGCAGCCCCGCCCTCGCCGGTCCCTCTGGCTGGAGCCGGGGTTTGGCTTCCTCTTTATTAATCATCTTTTCACGTCCCGAGCACCCCCTGCCCCGCTGCCAGGCCCTGGCGCTCCAGCCCCTCCAGGCCGGGGCCTGCCCTGTCCAGCTCCCTGTTCCTCTGTGCAGGGGCAGGAGAGCGACTCCCAGCTCACCCTGCCTCACCCTATGCCTGTGCCCCTTGGGTGACAGGGCCCATGGGAGGCCTGGGTCCTAGTGCCACAGCTGGGCGCTCAAGGCATTGCCACTCTGGTTTGGGGGCTCCCAGTGGGAGGAGCCCCAGCTACTGTGTCCGGCTTGAAGCAGATGCCCGTTGGAAACTGGGTGTGGGCTCTCCTTTCTTGGCTGGTGGGCTCTGAGGTGGCATCTCCACCTGGTCCTGCCCCTGGCACACGGGCCTCCTGGTGTGCAGCTGGAGGGACAGAGGGACGCGGGCCAGTGCGCCCCCTTTGGGCAGGCTGCCCTCCAGTCCCGCGTGCTGGTCCTCTGCTGCACCCAGATCTCTGCCCCAACCCGAGGGTGCCCGCCTCGTGCCGTGGGGCTGGGGCTGGTGGGGGCTGCCCCCGTGGAAGCAGGTGCACTGCCCAGCCCTCTGAGCCCCTCTCCCCACAGGCAAACCTCTTCCCTGCTGCCCTTGTGCACTTGGGAGCCCAGGAGCCAGCAGGTGAGCCGGGCCTCCCCCTGCAGGCCACACAGCCCTCCCTGGGCCACGCCTGCTTAGCTGGGGGGCGGAGCGGGAGGTGTGGGGGCGCCTGGGGGCGGGCCTCCCTCCTCTGAGCAGGACGGTCTCTCTGGGCAGGCCTCTACCTGGCGCCCAGGCTGCTAGAACACACGGTGCCTCCGTCTGCGGCTGACATGCTGGTGGCCAGGTGCGTGCAGGTGGGGTGGGGACCCTTGAGGCCAGCACCCACCATCCTGACCTCCGCCTCTCACCCCCAGGTGCATGTCCAGGGCCGCCGGGTCCCCACCCCCGTTGCCAGCCCCTGAGCTCCCCCCTGCTCCCGAGGAGGGGGTGCCAGGCCCCCCAGAGCCCGCCCCCGGGACAGCCCAGCCTGTGAGGAGGAGCCTGGGCAAGGTGCCCACGTGGCTGAAGCTACCAGGTGCCTGGGGCGGGCGGCGGGCGGACGGCTGGGCAGCGGGAGCCTGAGGCCCGCGTCATCCTGGTGTTTGCCTTGCAGCGGGTAAGAGGTGAGAGCGGCCAGCCCGGAGGTGCCCTCCCCGTCGACCACAGGACCCCACCCCACCCTGCGGGAATAAAGACGCTTCTCTCAGAACCACCTTGTCTTCTGTCCCCAAGAGGGGCGGCCGTGGGGGCCCTGTGCGTCCTGGACCGGTCCTCACTTGCTTCTGGGGCACGGGTGTGCTCCGTGCACCCTAGGGCCTGCCGGTCCCCAGCTGACCTCGTGAATTACCCTGCCGCCTCCGTGGAGAACAAGGCGGGTGGCCAAGTGGGGCCGGGCACGGCTCGGGGATGAGGCAGCGCGTGGCCGGGCCCGTCCCGTCCCAGGTGGCCTCTGTGGCTCCCGCATTTGCGCCCCTGCCAGCCGGGCATCCCTGCAGGTCCAACAGCCACCTTCCCAGCGCTTGAGCCCACTGTCCACGCTCGCCCAGGCCTGTCCAGAGTGCTCTGGGGCGGGTACAGTGAGCCCCCAGGCCAATGGTGCCCTAAGTGCGGCCCACCCAGAACTGCCCCAGGGCCTCGGGGCGGCCAGCTGGCATGTCTGCACACCCTGGGAGCCAGCCCTGGGGGTCTGCACGCCCTGGGAGCCAGCCCCGGAGGTCTGCACGCCCCTGAAAGACAGCCCTGGGGGTCTGCACGCCCCTGGGAGCCAGCCCCGGGGGTCTGCACGCACCTGCTATGGGAGCTTCCGTCCCAGGAGGGTGGGGGTCCCAGCAGGGTGGGGGTCGGAGCACTGGGCTCTGGGCACTGGCAGTGAGAAGGCCACACCAGGGACAGACCTGATTTATTGACGTTGCTTTGTGGGAACAGACGTGCAGCTCAGGGAGGGGGGTTGGCCTCTCCCCCAGCACCGGGCTCCTGTGCCGGGGCGGGGGTGCAGGGAGGGGAGGGCGGGGGTGACCCGCCCCTTCTGAGGCTGGGGCGCGTGTGCTGGCTGGACTGCTGCAGGTCCCCGGACGCCAGGCTGTGCAGGGGCCTCCTGGGTTGGCCGTGGAAAGCGCAGGGGCCACTAGAAGTCCAGGAGCTGCGGGGGGCGGGCGCTCAGAGCGCGGGCGGGCTGGCGGGGTGGGCCGCCCCCCCTCCGCGCCCCGCCCCCACGCACCAGCTGAGGCAGCACCTTCTCCAGCTGCTCCACGTCCACCTGGGCCACGTCCTCCGCCTGGGCCTGCCGGACCCCGCGGACGGCCGCCTCTGCCGCGACAGGGGGCTGCGGACTTGCACGGCGCCCGGCGCCCCCCCCCCCCCCCGGCAGTGCCGGCAGAGCCTGGCTGTCACTTCAGGGTCCTGGTGCTGTCACTCACCCACCACGAAAATCCGGAGCAGCTCCGCCGTGAGCTGCAGCGCATCGGCGCTGACTGCGGGGGAGGGGGCGGTTACGGGCCGCAGAGCCGCCCCCCCCCGCTTCCCGCGCCCCCGCCCGGCCCCACGGCCGCACCTTTGGTCCTGTGGTCCCGGAAGTGCAGGTGCAGCAGCTTACTCAGCAGCTCCTGAGGGGGGAGCGGGTCGGCGCTCAGAGCGGAGGGGGGGGGGGCACGGCAGCGACCCCCGCAGCGCAGGGGCCTGGGCCACAGCGGGTGGTCGGGATGCGGGCGGAGGCCAGGCCGAGACCCCTGCAGCCCCGAGGTTGGGGCTACTCTGGGGAGGGGGCTGGGGACACCCGGCGAGGGTCGCGTGACGCCCATGCGGGGGCCCGGGTGCGCAGCAGGTGGACGGCTGGGGAAGCCCCGGAGGGAGGGCGCCCACAGCTCGGGGAGCGCAGCGGGGCCGAGCGCCCCATCCCGGCGGCGTGGCTCCGGAGAGCAGCGCGCGAACCCAGCGCCACCTGCTGGGCCCGCGTCCCGCGCGCCGGGCCAGCAGGCGGCTGGCAAAGCCGAAGGCGGGCGGCGACACTCGGGGTCCCTGCGCGCCCCGCCCCTCCCCGCGACGACCCCGACCGCGGCTCCGGCCAGAGCATTCCCGCAGCCGCCCGGCAGTGTGCCCGGCGCTTCCACAGGGCGAGGCCACCGGGCGCCCGCTCGCAGCCCGGCCCGGCCTGCACGCCCCTCCGTGTGGCCGAAGGCCCGCGGCCCTACTCGCCCTACGCCTGGCTGCAGGGCCCTGCCCGCGGTGGGCCGGGCTGGCGGCACGAGGGCTGCCTTAGGGCCCGCGCCCGCATCACCGGCCCTCACCTTCCGGAAGCCCGCGCCGGATCCCTCCATGGCCGTCGCTCCGCGAGTCCTCCGAAACCCCGCCCCCGCGCTCCGGGCCAATGAGTCGCAGCGCGCCCCAAAGGGCCCCGCCCCTGCGTCCCGGGCCAATCAGCCCGGAGCGCGCCCTCCGGAACCCCGCCCCCTCTCCGCCCCGACCAAAGAGTCGCAGCGCGCCCAGTGCGGCCCCGCCCCCCGCGTCCCCGGCCAATCAGCCTGGAGCGCGCCCTCCTCCTTCGCGGGCCGCGGCGCGCCCAGCCCTGTGGCTCTCGCTGCCCCGCGGCGAGCGCCTGCGCAAGGCCTCCTGGGATCTGTAGTTTTCGCTCGCTCTTTCCCGGCGCGCCCCGCTCTTCCTGGATACCGAGGCGCGCGGAGCGCGGCGGCGGCGACGGCGAGCGGCGATCCCCGGCGCGAGGGCGGGGGCCTGGGTGCTGCGGAGCGCGGGAGTGGCCGGGCCGGTCGGGGCGGGGTTGCGGGCCACGTGCCCGCCCGCTTCTCCGGCCAGCGGTCCCCACGCCCCCGCGCGCGGCCCGGTCCTGCCGTCCTGCCCCCTGGACCGCCGCCCATGGGACCGGCCCGGCTTGCGCCCCACTCCGCCTGCCGAGACCGCGTCCCGCACACCGACGCCTGCCGTTGGGCCGCCGCCCGCGGGGGCCCCGGGGACAGCGGCGCGTCCCTCGGCCTGGGCGCGGCGCGCGGAGGGGCCCCGCGAGCCCGGCGCGCATGGAGGAGTTGCGGCGCGCCTACAGCCGCCTGTGCCAGCAGAGCGGGGCCGAGCCCCAGGAGGCCGTCCTGCAGCGGCTGCTGCAGCCCCCGCGGGGCCGGCTGGACCTGGCCACGCAGAGCCTGACGGTGGACAGCTGCAGGGCGCTGGGCAAGCTGCTGCGCGCCGAGGCGCTGCTGACGGAGCTGGTGCTGAGCGACTGCATGCTGAGCGAGGAGGGTGTGTGGGGCCGCCCGGAGCCCCCTGCCGCCGTCGGCGCCGTCCCGACCCGGGCTGCGGGCGGGGGCAGCGGCTCCCTGAGGGCCCCCGGAGCTGGTGCCCGTCGGTGGCTCCGCGGGCTGCTTGGTGCCTGGCAGGGGCTGTGCGGGGTCGGAGGGCAGCGTCACAGCAGGTGGGCGCGGAGCGGGGTGGGGAAGCCTGGCTCCCCGGCCGGGCGCAGAGTGACCGCCCCTGCCCTGCCCTGGCACAGGGGCCGCGCTGCTGCTGCGAGGGCTGTGCACCAACACCGCGGTCCGGCTGCTGGACTTGAAGGTGAGCAGGCGGCGCCGGCCCGCGGCTGCGCGTGCTCTCCACGTCCCGGCCGGCCCGGGCACCCACAGAAGGGTCGGGGACGCCCCCGCCTTGCCGGGGCCCCGTGGGGCGGCAGGAAGGACTCCCTGCCCTCTCCCATCCTAGGGCAATAACCTGCAGGCCCGCGGGGCCGAGGCTCTGGGACGGCTCCTGCGGCAGAACAAGTCCATTCAGAGGTAGGGTGGCCTGTGTGGCCCGCGGTCGCCCGGCGCAGCAGGGTCTGGAGGTGCTTACGGGGCTGCAGCCAATGGCGGGGCCCCCAAGCCCACATCAGTAAGCCCCGGACCCCGTGGGCCCGCCCTCGGCACAGCCTCACCCTGGAGTGGAACAGCCTGGGCGCCTGGGAGGACGCCTTCGCTGCCTTCTGCGGGGGCCTGGCCGCCAACGAGGCCCTCCGGCAGCTGGACCTCCGCAACAACCAGATCAGCCACCAGGGGGCAGAGCAGCTCGCCCTGGCCCTGAAGGGCAACACCACCCTCCAGCAGCTGGGTGAGTCCCGGCCCTCACCGCACACGGGGGCGGCCGCACTCGGCCGCTGCTGACCGCCGACTCCTTCCAGACCTGCGCTGGAACAACATCGGCCTCCTGGGTGGCCGGGCCCTGGTCAGCTGCTTCCCCAGCAACCGAAGCCTGCGGAGGCTGGACCTGGCTGGGAACAACGTCCCTGGTGACATCCTCAGAGCCGTGGGTAGGGCGTGTGTGGGGTGCTGGCACCCAGCCCTGTCACCCACCCACCCCGGGCAGGGGCGGCTCAGGGCATGTGTGGGTGCTGGCACCCAGCCCTGTCACCCACCCACCCCAGGCAGGGGCGGCTCAGGGCGTGTGTGGGGTGCTGGCACCCAGCCCTGTCGCCCACCCACCCCGGGCAGGGGCGGCTCAGGGCATGTGTGGGTGCTGGCACCCAGCCCTGCCACCCACCCACCCCGGGCAGGGGCGGCTCAGGGCGTGTGTGGGGTGCTGGCACCCAGCCCTGTCGCCCACCCACCCCGGGCAGGGGCGGCTCGGAGCCGCGACCCCTAAGCTTACGGCACCTGCCACGCACTGCCACCCCCAGCTTGCCTTTGCTGGGTTCCAGGGACCCATGCAGTGTGTAGGGGTCACTTGTGTCACGGCGGGGGGGTGGTGGCTGTGGCCACAGGGCCCAGAGCCCTCCTGCCGATGGCGGTGCTGGGCCTCAGGTGGTCCAGGCGGCAGCCAAGCGAGGGCCTGGCATTGTCGCCCCCGAGGGTGGCTTGTGTGTGAGCTGTGGGGGGGTGGGCAGAGCCTTGCTGCAGCCCCCACGCTGCCCTCCTGCTGCCCAGTCCCCGGGCCAGACGGCTGCTCCCACGGGAGCTCGGGCCCGAGTCCTGGACCCCAGCCGCCCGCCTCCCTGGGCTGCCCGGCCCTCCCAGGACACAGCGTTCGCCTCCACACGCACCCAGCTCCCGCGCAGCGGAGCAGCCCACCCACCCCCTGCCGTGCCCTGGGGTGCCCGGGCTGACCCCGGTTGACTGCCCAGAGGCTCACAGGGCCCCTCTGACAGAACAAGGCGCGGGCCACAACCAGGACAGGCAGGCGACCCTGCAGGAGAACCAGGCCCGCACCCAGGTGCTCAGCCAGGAGGTCCGGCACCTGCGGGAGGAGAAGTCCAGGCAGGTGAGGCCGGCACTCAGACCCTGGGGCCACCGCTGGGCGGCGGCCTGCGGAGCCTGACGGGGCTCCGGCCGCTCTGCCCCCAGTTTCTGGACCTGATGGAGACGATTGACAAGCAGCGTGACGAGATGGCCCAGAGCAGCCGGTGCGTGGCCCGGGGTCGGGGCCTGGCTCTGGACAGTGTGGTCACAGCGTGGGCCCCCGGGGCACGGTGCAGGCCCAGCGCCCTGTGCATGGCAGCGTAGCTTGGCGCCCGTGTTGAGTGGCCGCTGCTGCCCGGCCGGGAAGGGGCCTGCCGGCCGGGCCTCCTGAGTCGACTGCCCACAGGGTGTCGGCGGTGCGTGTGGGGCAGCTCCAGGAAGCCCTGAGCGAGAGGCACTCGATCATCAATGCCCTCAAGGCCAAGTGAGCAGAGGGGGCCGGGAGGGGTCCTGCGCCCTGGGGACCGGGCGGTCACCCGGGAGGCCGTCAGGGCCAGCCGAGTGCCGCGAGGGTTTGCTCAGGGCCTGGGGCCCCTCCCCTCGCAGGCTCCAGATGACCGAGGCCGCCCTGGCTCTGTCGGAGCACAAGGCCCAGGAGCTGGGGGAGCGCCTGGCCGCCTCGGAGCAGGGGCAGCTGAGCCAGGCGCAGAGGCTGGAGAAGGAGCGCAGGCTGGAGCGGCAGGTGGGCAGGGGGCGGGCGGGCGGGGGGCTGCGGCACCGTGGCGACCGCCCGCCGTGGTGACCACCCACCGTGGTGACCACCTGAGCTATGGCACCGTGGTGACCGCCCGCCGTGGTGACCACCAACCGTGGTGACCACCTGAGCTATGGCACCGTGGTGACCACCCGGGCTGTGGTACCGAGGTGACCGCCCACCGTGGCGACCACCCGGGCTGTGGCACCAAGGTGACCGCCCGCCGTGGTGACCACCTGAGCTATGGTACCGAGGTGACCGCCCACCGTGGTGACCACCTGAGCTGTGGTACTGAGGTGACCGCCCACTGTGGTGACCACCCGGGCTGTGGCATCGTGGTGACCGCCCACCGTGGTGACCGCCCGGCCGCACGCCCCTCAGGAAGCCGCAGAGCGGGAGTCCAGGCTCCTCAGAGACCTGTCGGCCGCCAACGAGAAGAACCTGCTTCTGCGAGACCAGGTGGGGGGTGGGGCGGCCTGGGGCGGGCTGGGGGGGCGGGCGGGGCTGCAGCTCCCTCCCCCTGCCGCCCTCCCCACAGGTGGACGAGGCGGAGCGCAAGGTGGGCTCCCTGCAGGAGCAGCTGTTCCAGGCCAGGCAGCAGCTGACCACCACGGCGGCCGAGCTGAAGCTGCGGGCCATCCAGGCTGAGGGTGGGCACCGGCAGCTGGGGGGGGGCTGGAGGCCCGGGCTGGGGGGGCAGCGGGGGCTCAGCACAGGCTTCCTCTGGCTTCCAGAGCGCCTGGACGCGGAGAGGAAGAGATCCAAGCAGAACCTGCAGGATGCAGAAAGCCTGCGTCTCAAGGAGGTGCCTGTGCCTGGCCCGGGGGGCCCTGGGGCACGGCCACTGCCCATGGTCTCCTGGGGGGGCCCTGGGGCATGGCCACCACACATGGTCCACCCGGGGGGGCCCTGGGGCATGGCCACCACACATGGTCCACCCGGGGGGGCCCTGGGGCATGGCCACCACACATGGTCTCCCGGGGGGGCCCTGGGGCATGGCCACTGCCCATGGTCTCCCGGGGGAGCCCTGGGGCACGGCCACTGCCCATGGTCTCCCGGGGGGGCCCTGGGGCACGGCTACCGCCCATGGTCTCCCGGGGGGCCCTGGGGCACGGCCACCGCACACGGTCTCCCCGGGACCCCAACCACCAGGCTTGCTGGGTTCTTCACCTGGACTCTCCTACCACATCGGCTGGGGGTCCCCACCAGGCTGCACCCCCCGGGCAGGGCACACCCCAAGGGTCCCAAGGGACGCCTGCCCTCCAGGACAGAGGTTCCACGGAGGGATGCCGAGGGGCCCAGGCCTGCCAGCCCTGACCCCTGCCCTCACCGCGGGCAGGTGGAGCACATGACCCGCCACCTGGAAGAGAGCGAGAGGGCCATGCAGGAGAGGGTGCAGAGGCTGGAGGCCACACGGCTGGCGCTGGAGGAGGTGAGGGGCCGCCCGCCTCGCGTGGTGCCCGGGGAGAGCCTCTGGCCCTGTGTGGCATTCAGCCCCCTTGGCCCCGAGAACCCTGCCCAGGGAGGGTGCCAGGGCCTCCCTGGGCCCCTGGGAGGCGGGAGGACGGAGACCACCAGGCTGTGCTGCAGGAGCTGAGCCGCGTGAAGGCTGCGGCGCTCGCCGAGCGAGGCCAGGCGGAGGAGGAGCTCATCAAGGCCAGGCAGCAGGCCCGCCTGGACGAGGTGAGCCCCCCCGGGACTGGCCCAGCGTCTTGGCTCAGCTGAGGGGCCGGGGTGGGGAGGGCGGTGAGGGCGACGTCTGCCCCGAACAGTGCCGCTGTCGGGGGTCTCAGCTCAGATCCAGCACCGACAGGCGGGGGTAGGGGCTGCAGGCTGAGCGGGACCCCGGTCCGCCCGTCTGCGCAGGGGCAGCTGTCGGGGCGGGCTCCTGCCGGGCCCTCTCGCTCAGCCGTCCCGTCTGTGCCCGCAGCAGCAGCGCCTGGCCCACCTGGAGGAGAAGCTGCGGCTGCTCGGGCAGGCGCGGGACGAGGCCCAGGGCGCCTGCCTGCAGCAGCGGCAGACGGTGGCCGAGGCCCAGGCCAGGGCCGGGCAGCTGGGCCTGCAGGTGGAGGGGCTGCGGAGGCGCCTGGAGGAGCTGCAGCAGGTAGCGGGGGCTGCGCGGCCGGGCGCCCCGCCCTCCCCTGGGCGCCGCCTCACCGGCCGCCCCCGCAGGAGCTGAGCGACCAGGAGCAGGGGAAGGTGGCCGAGGTGGCCCGGGTGCGGGCGGAGCTGCAGGCGGAGCGCACGGCGCAGCAGGCCCTGAGGGAGAAGGTGGTGGCCCTGGAGCGCCAGCTGCGAGGTGAACGCCGCGCGGCCCCCCCCCCCCGCCCCCCGGCCCGCGCAGGTGCGCGCCGCTCACCGCGCTCCCCGCCCGCAGGGGTCGCGAGCGACCACCGGGAGGCGCTGCTGGACCGGGAGAGCGAGAACGCGTCGCTGCGGGAGAAGCTGCGGCTGCGGGAGGCGGAGATCGCGCGCATCCGGGACGAGGAGGCCCAGCGGGCCAGCTTCCTGCAGAACGCCGTGCTGGCCTACGTGCAGGGCGCCCCGAGCCCCCCGAAATGAGCGCGCGCTGCCCCCCGCAATGCAAACAACTTCCGCACTTTGTCCTACACCTTGGCCCCGCGTCTTCTTCGCCGCCCCGCGCGCGGGCCCCGGGGGGCGTGGCCGGGGCCCCGGGAGGGCCGGAGGGGCTCGCGCCCGCGGGGCGCTGGGGTCGGCCCGGCCGCGCCGCGCGGATCCGGGCCCCGCACGCTCCGCCCCGCCGCCCCCCGCCCGCCCGCCGGCCGCGCTCGGCTGTCTCCGCGCCCGCGCTCGGCGGCGCTCGGCTGTCTCCGGCGCTGCTCGGCGCTCGGGTCCGCGGCCGCTGCGGCGCCGGCATTTCTCCGCAGCTCGGCTCGCGGCCGCGCCCGCCGCCGCCCGGCCCGCGCCCATGCAGGCCATCAAGTGCGTGGTGGTCGGCGACGGGTGAGTGCGCGGCCCGGAGCCGGCCCGCAGCGCGGTGGGGGCGGCCCAGGGGGCGCGGCCCGGGCAGGGGCGGGGTGGCCAGCGGCTGGGGTCCTGCAAGGCGGCCCCGCTGCCCCCCGCGCAGGCCGCGTGCGCCCCGGAACCGGGCAGGGTGGGGCGGGTGGCGTGGGGCGGGGCGGGCTGCCAGCCCCGCGTCCTCCGGCCTGCAGCCCGGCCCACCTGATGCTGCGGGCCGACGCCCCGTCCTCCCGGTGGGTGGGGCCAGGCCTCACCTGGGCTGAGCCTCGGCCGGCCTCGCCCTCTCCGGCTCCCCGCCCTCCCCGGGCGCCGGGAACTCCAGGGTCGGGGGCTCGTGCCCCTGCCGCTGCACTCGAGGCCCGTCGGGCTGCCCTGGCCGCCATGCATCCCTGGGACCCCGGGGAAGGGGGCTGCGTTCCGGGCAGGAGTAGAGGAGGAGCTGGGAGCCACGTGGGCGCCTCTGTCCACAGCGCCGTCGGAAAGACGTGCCTGCTGATCAGCTACACGACCAACGCGTTCCCGGGGGAATACATCCCCACCGTGTGAGTGCGCGGGCCGGGGCGGGGGTCCCACCCGAGCTGCAGCCCCGCAGGGCAGCTGACCTGCCCCCTCTGCCCCGGCAGCTTCGACAACTACTCTGCCAACGTGATGGTGGACGGGAAGCCGGTGAACCTGGGGCTGTGGGACACGGCCGGGCAGGAGGACTACGACCGGCTGCGGCCGCTCTCCTACCCCCAGACCGTAGGTGGCCACGGGCCGGCCCTGGGAGCCCGGGGGTGGGGGGCCCTGGACACCCCCTGACCGCCCCTTCCTCCCAAGGACGTGTTTCTGATCTGCTTCTCGCTGGTGAGCCCGGCCTCCTTCGAGAACGTTCGTGCCAAGGTAGGGCAGCGCTGGGGGGAGGGGCTCGCCAGGGTCCTGCTGAAGGCTTCGGACTGCTCGTCCTTGCAGGGCTGAGGGGGTGTGTGCCCTGCCCAGGGTGGTGGACCTGGGTGGGTCTCGGCTTCCTGGCTTGGGCATCTTTGTGCCTGGCCACTTCCCCGCCAAACCCGTCAGCCTCTGGTCCCCCCGTGAAGCTGGAGGAGCCAAGTTTGGGCCTGGGGGCAGTGAGGAGGCCTCAGGAGCCACTGCCCACTCCTAGGCGGGGTGGGAGGGCAGCCCCCTCGGCACAGGGCCCCTCGCCCGCGGGGTCAGAGCCTGTGTCTCCCCAGTGGTACCCGGAGGTGCGGCACCACTGCCCCCACACGCCCATCCTCCTGGTGGGCACCAAGCTGGACCTCCGTGACGACAAGGACACCATCGAGCGGCTGCGGGACAAGAAGCTGGCGCCCATCACCTACCCCCAGGGCCTGGCCATGGCCAGGGAGATCGGTGAGGCCCGCGGCGGGTGGGGGCGGGGCCGGGCAGCGGGCGCCCAGTGGGCCCCAGCCCTCGTCAGCCCGCGTCATCCCCAGGCTCCGTCAAGTACCTGGAGTGCTCGGCCCTGACCCAGAGGGGCCTGAAGACGGTGTTTGACGAGGCCATCCGCGCCGTGCTCTGCCCGCCCCCCGTGAAGAAGCCGGGGAAGAAGTGCACCGTGTTCTAGAGTGGCGGAAGAGACGCGTGGGGGGGCGGGGGGGCGGGGAAGCATGGGGACAAGGCTGGGGCCTCGGGGTCCTGTCCTCTCCGCCTCCTCTGGCCCCCGCGGGAGGCCGGGAGGGAGCAGGGTCTCCCTCAGGGCGGGCAGCCCCAGGCTGGGCTTCCCTGATGGGGGAGGGGGGTGGGTTCTGTCCATGGCGCCCGGGACGGGCGGCCCCTTGTTATTTTATACAATAAACATCCTCCACCGTCGGCCGCTGCCTCTCACTGCCTGCCTGGCCCCTGCCCCAGCCCCCGGCAGCGGAGCCCCGGGCTCGTAGCACCCAGACGGCGCCTCCAAGTGCGGGTCCCCAAAGGAGGCCCGGAGCCCCACTGCACACTGGCTGGGCGGCCCCAGAGCCAGAGTGCCCCCAGCCTGGGAGGGGCGCGGGCAGCTCCCGTGGTGCCAGGGGACCGGTGCGCGGGGCTGCGGCCTGGTCAGGCCTCACGGAGCCTCTGGCTCAGCACGGGGGCCAGGGCGGGCAAGGGTGTGGTCAGGTGTGGGAACAGGCGTGGCTGAAGTCGGGGCCAGGGTCCGTTGTAGGCGTCACCCAGGTGGACGTGAGTAGCGGTGCCGCAGAGGGCCACTCCAAACACACACTTCCTGTCTGCACCCAAGACCACCACCTGTGCCTCCGGGGCTGCCTGTGCCGCTGTGTGCACAGGGCACAGGTGCCCCGCCACGGGCGCCACCGCGGGGCCCCAACGTTAAACCGACAGCCTGCACCTGCACGCGACCGCGGCGGCACTGTTCACACCACGGGAATCGGCAAATACGACCAGAGCCCGACTTGGTGCCGGCTGGGTAGAAGCAGCCGTGGGAGAGTGCGGCTCACTCGGTGTAGACGGCACAAGAAGCCCAGGGGAGCGTCCGTGACCAAGATGGGCGCCCCAAGCTCTTCACTCTGAGCCGTCCCTGTGTCTCGGCGCCGCCCCAGGGTCTCGGCGCCGCCCCAGGGCCAAAGGCCACCCCGGCCCTACCCCCGCTCCTGTCAGGAGCCTGCCCGCAAACCTGGGAGTCGGCACACAGATTTATTGGGGCTGGGGGGGGGGCTCCGCGGGGCCCGAGGCTCGGCGGCTCAGGTGGCCAGGAAGCCCCCGTCCACCGGCAGGGTGGAGCCTGTGGTCATGCCGCTTCGGTCGCTCAGCAGGAAGAGGATGGCGTCCACCACGTGCTCCACCTCTGCGGGCGGGCGAGGCGGGGGTCAGGGGTGTGGACTGGACGGCGGAGGCGGGCTCGCCTCCTGCCCTCCCACCCCCGCCCCCCGCAGGGACAGGGGCTGCTGGTGCACGCCCGGGCGAGGCCCCCACCCGACTCACCGGCAAACTTGCCGAGCGGGATGCGGTCCAGCAGAGGCTTGGCCTTGTGGGGGTTGCTCCAGTTGGCCTGGCCCATGGGAGTCATCACCACGGTGGGGTTCACCGCGTTCACTCGGATCTGCGCCAGACAGGCGTCAGCACAGCTGCCGGGCCCTGGGCGTGCGGGCCGGGTGGGAGGGCCCCGAGCTGGCTCACCTTGTGGGGCCCGAGCTCCAGGGCCATCACCTTGGTCAGCATGTCCAGGGCACCTTTGGTGGAGCCTGCAAGGAGGGTGTCATGGGGCCCGGCTGGCCGGCAATGGGGCAGGCGGAGGGGCCCGGGCACAGCAGGGCTCACTCACAGTACACACTGTGGTCGGTCAGTGCGCGACGGGAGGCCTGGCTGGACACATTCACGATGGCCCCGGGGGCGCCCCGGGCAATCATGCCCCTGGCCACGATCTGGAAGGGCGGGGGCGGGTGAGGCAGGACGGCCGCCGCCCACCCACCGGCTCTGCGCCCGCGCCCCGCGCCCTCCCCCACAGCTCACCTGGGACACCTGGATGACGGCGCGCAGGTTCACGTCGAAGGACCTGGAGGCAGAGGGACAGACCCTGGTCAGGGACTAGGGCTGCTGCCGCGGCCACGCTCCCCGCCCCCAGGCGCCGCCACTGGCTCACGTGTCACAGGCCTCCTTGGTGACCTCCAGGAAGGGCTGCAACAGCGCCACCCCCGCGTTGTTCACCAGCAGGTCCACGGGGCCCACGCCGCCCAGCGCCCGCTCCGTGGCCTCCCAGTCGCCCAGGTCCACGCACACGGGCTCTACCCCGGGGCACTGTGTGTAGTGGGGGAGGGGCTACGCTACCAGAGGGTCGGTACCCCAGGGGCTGGAGGGCAAGTCCTCCTGGGAGGGTGGCAGGACGAGGGGAGGGGCCCGGGTCGGTCCCAACCACCCCAGGCGGGGGGGGGGGGGGGGCGGCCCCGCCTCTGGTCGGCTCGCTTCCGCCCTGCCCAGGCGCTCCCCGCCCCAGGCCTGCTAGGCTGCCGTTTCAGTCTCCTTCCAAGGCTGGGAGCCCCACGCAGGCCGCGCCCCCCAACCCGCAGAGCTAGGACTGGGCCCGGCCTACCTCGCGGACGAGGCTGTCCAGGTCTGCTCGGGTTCGGCTCACGGCCACCACCCGTGCACCCGCCGCGTGCAGGGCCTGGACGGTGCCGCGCCCGATGCCTGCGTGGAGCGCGGCTCAGTGCGGGCGCTCCCAGCCCCGCCGGCCCCCGACCTCCGACCCCCGGCCGCCCTCGCCTCCTCCCGCCCGCCGCCTTTGGCCCCGGCCACCTTTGCCCGCCCCGGTGACCAGCACGCGCCGGCCCGCCAGCCCCAGCTCCATGTTGGCGCCGTCTGGGCGCGGAGCGCCGGGGCCACGGGACTTGGAGCTCTGGGGCGGGACGCGGCGGGACCAATCGCAGGCTGGCCTTCCAGGAGGGGGCGGGGACGTTCAAATAAGGCCTGCCCTGCGGCGGTGATTGGCCGACAGCTGGGGGCGCGGCCGGGCCGGGGCGGGTCCCCGCTGGCCCGGGCTCCAGGCTTTCCAAACTGCCTGCGACCCACGGACATTAGCGGCCCCTCAATATTATTAGAAAAAGTAGTCGTGGCAGTCAGTCCCCGAGGGAACACGCGAAGTGGCCCTCCCGCAGGCCTGGGAGCGCTCGCACCGGCTGGCCCAGGGGAGAGAAGACCCCAGCACCAGCTGGCTTCAGAGCCCACCAGCGCCTTTGGTCAGCAAAAGCCAGGACCACCCTTCGGGATCAGCTGCAGACGGACACGTGCCTGCGTGCCCACTGGGAGTCTACGGAGAAGCTGCTCTGTTGTGTAAACCACGCGGGAAAGTCTAGAGCCGCTGCCCTGAGGGCCTTCTGTGGCCGGGAGTGGACGCAGACGTGGACAGGCTGCAGGCGAGGGTGGCCGGCTGCAGCGGGAGGTGTGTCTCAGAAGTCCTCCAGGGGCCACCCTGCCTTCTGCTCCCAGCCTTGGACCCTGCCCCTGCCAGCCAGAGGCCCAGGGAGGGGCAGCCCTGACATGTCCATCCACACGTTAAACCCACCACCCCCGCTGCGCAGCTTGGCCTTGCCCACGACAGGAGGTCCACGTCTTCTCAATCATCCCATGATCCTTGCCAGCTGGCCTGGCCAGCGTCCGCCAGGACCTGCTCCTTGGCAGTCCTGCTGGCCGCTCAGAGGCACCCCCACCCCCCACCGCCACGTGCAGCTGCCGCAGGACCCCAGCTCCTTATCCTCTGCCCCCTCAGCCAGGGCTGGAGCTGTGCTGGTCAGCCTACTGTCCACCTCTGGCCCCACAGCCTCTAGACACCACGGGCCACGCCAGGGCCTGGTCTCGGCAAGCACAGCTGGCCAGAGCTGGGCTGTGGCTCCCGGGCCAGGACTCAGGCCGTGCGGGGTGGGGGCAGCAGCTGTGGGCCCCGCACTCCTGGTTCCTCCCCTGCTGTCTCTGGCAGAAGTGGACTCCCCGCCCACACACAGGCCTCCCGGCCCACCTCGGGGCGCCCCTACCCTCCAGAGGGTGGCCCAGGGCCCGGGCATCCCCCCACAGGCGCAAGGAAGGGACGCAGCTGCCCTCTGCCCTCAGTCCTGCCCAGGACTGGCCCGGCGCTGCAGCAGGGTCAGCATCGCGCTGCAAGAGCCTCCGCCCCTCCGCCCTGTGGTCGCGAGCAGGGCGGAGGAATCGGCCGCCCCCCGGACCCTCTCCCCGTCCTCCTCTCTCCGTCCTCCCCCTGGACCCCTCTCCCCGTCCTCCCGAGCGTCGCACAGGACTCTGGAATGCTGGGTCCCGCAGAGCGGCCTCCATTTATTTAGGGAACCGGCCCCGCAGCGCGGCGGACGTCGCAGGAGAGACGGCGGGATCTCAGGATGAGCGCGACGCTGGACATCGTGGCCGTGGAAGGGGCGGTGAGAGCGGGCGTGGGGGGCGGTGCCAGGAGGCGGGGCCACGGCACGGAGGCGGGGCCAGCGCTGGGAGACGAGGCGTGGTCGGGGGCGGGGCTGGGAGGCGTGGTCGGGGCGGGGCCTGCAGGAGGTGGGCCGGGATAGGAGGAGTGGCGGGGCGGGGGCGGGAATTGGCGTGGAGGCGGGGCCGACGCTGGGCGTTGGACCCGCTGTGGCGTGGGGGGCCTGGGCAGACGCGAAGCCAAGCCCCTCCGGTCGCTGGAGGCCAGACGCTCTAGGAGGCCAGGTAGCCGGCGTCCACGAGGATGCCCGAGCCGCTGGTGGAGGCGCTGCGGTCGCTGAGCAGGAAGAGGATGCTGTTGACCACATCCCCCACCTCTGCGGGGCAGCGAGCCGGTCAGGGCGGTGGCTCGGCCGCGCGGGGGCCGTCCGCCACTGCCCCTCCCTCCTGCCCCCTGGACCTGCGAACTTTCTCAGAGGGTGGCGCTCCTTCAGCTTCCGGGCGAAATCGGCGTCGGCGGAGACTTTCTGGCCCATGGCGGTCAGCACCACTGTGGGGTTCACGGAGTTCACGCGGATCTGGGGCGGGAACCGGGGTGGCGGCCTGCGTGGCTCCACAGGCCCTGGCCCCACAGCCCCTGGTGCCCCTCCCCCCAGGACTGAGTCTGTTTACTGAGTTCAGCCAACCTTTGACCCCACTGCCCAGAGCCAAGCTCCACCCTCATTTCACTCCCAGCCCCCACCTTGTGTGGCCCCAGCTCCATGGCCATGGCTTTGGTCAGCATGGTCATTGCGCCCTTGGTGGAGCCTGTTGGGGGAAGGCAGCACTGAGTCCCCTCCCCTTCGGGACGGAGCCCTCCTACCCCAGGGGTGCGGGACAGAGGAGGGGGAGGGGGAGGGGGAGGGGGGAGGACGCTGGCTGAGCGGCAGGACTTACTATAGGCTGCCAGGTTGGGAAAGGTGACGTGGGCCACCATGCTGGAGACGTTGACAATGGAGCCGGGCACTCCGCGGTCGATCATGCCCCTGGCTACGATCTAGAAGCCGAATGGGCGTCAGCTGACCCCCCCCCCCCCCGCCCATCGCCGCCGGGCGCCCCTCTGCGGGCTCACCTGGGACACCTGGAACACAGAGCGCAGGTTCACGTGGAAGGACCTAGCAAGAGAGGGCGGCGGCGTGTCTGCCTGCCCTTCTGGGCCCGTCCCGCCCGGCCTCCCCCGACCGCTGTCCCACCCCCACCTGTCAAAGGCCTCCTTGGTGACCTCCAAGAAGGGCTGCATCAGCGCCACGGCGGCATTGTTCACCAGCAGGTCCACGGGGCCCACGCCGCCCAGCGCCCGCTCCGTGGCCTCCCAGTCGCCCAGGTCCACGCACACGGGCTCTACCCCCGGGCACTGTGGGAGACATGGGGCAGTGGGCAGGGTGGGGGTGGGCGTCCCGGCAACTCAGGAGGTGTCCTGGAGGCTGTGAGGGGCGGGCCAGGGCCAGGCCAGGGCTGTGTGCCTCACCTCCTGGGAGAGATGGACCAGGTCAGCGTGGGTGCGACTCACGGCCACCACGCTGGCTCCCTGAGCGTGCAGCGCCTTCACAGTGTCCCGGCCGATCCCTGCAGGGGTGGACTCCGTGGGTGGGTGCCCTGGTCAGTGCTGGGGTCCAGGGAGCAGGTGGGAGCAAGGGCTGCAGCCCCTCCCGTCCCGGAGCCGAGGGGGTCCCAAGCCAGAGGCCTGGCTGACCAAGATCCTGCCAGAGAGGCCCCCGAAAGCAGCCGCCTTCCACCGAGCCCTCAGAAGAGGTCCGGCTGGACACTGCCTCTGCCCGCTGGGGGCCTGGGGGCCGTGCTGAGGGCGGGGCGAGCTCACCGCTCCCGGGAGGGTCTCCTGTGTCGACCAGTGAGGGCTGCTGGCCCAGGCCGAGGCCTGCAGCCATCTGGTGAGGAGCAGCTCGGCCAGGTCCTGGGCTCGGCGGGCGGGCGCAGGGGGCTCGGCTGCTGCTGGGCCGGGATGGCAGGCAGGGCCCGCACCCACTGCTCACACCCACCTTTCCCTGCTCCGGTCACCAGGGCCCGCAGGCCCTGGAAGTTCATCTGCATGGTGCTGGTCCCGTCTGGTCCGGCGCTGAGGCGGGCTGCGGTTATAAAGGTCTGGGCAGGTGGGCGGGGCTGGGCAGGTGGGCGGGGCTGGGTGTCCTCATTTCCTCCCCAGAAATTTCATCCCCAGGGGAAGCGCGGGGGGGGGGGGGGCGCGAGGGGGGCAGGAGGGAGGGAGGGAGGGAGGCCCTCGCCCCAGCAGGGGCAGGGAGTGGAATTCCGGGGTTTGGTTCTTTCTCTTGACTGAACAGAGACACCTCCCACCTTGCACCCCCAAATCCAGGACCAGTGCCCTGCCCCCGCCTCCCACCCTGCACCCCCAGATCCAGGACCAGTGCCCTGCCCCCGCCTCCCACCCTGCACCCCCAGATCCAGGACCAGTGCCCTGCCCCCCTGCTTCCTGGCATCGGAGTCTCATGCCCGCCCGTGGAGAGGCCAGAGCACCCGTGCCCCATGGGAATGCATGTGGGTCCACATTGCCAGCTCTCTGGCAGTGCTCTGGTGCCCTGGTGGGGGGCTCCTGCTAAAGTAGGGGGTGGGACCCCCTCCTGAGCCGACTGGGACAGACGGCCTGAAGACCCCAGGGTGGTGGCTGGGGGGACCCCCTGCTTGCAGCTTCCCCGTGCACCTGACTGGGCCCCGGCAAAGTCTCCGGAGTCCTCCCTCACTGTTGCTGTGGATTCGTTCTGAGAGGATGAGCGGTGGGGGCAAGAGGCACGGAGTCACCACACAGACCCTGGGAGCCAGGTGAAAGCAGGCCAGCGGAGCAGCCCACAGACTCATTTATTTCAGTTGGTGCAGCAGCTTATATAGCCGAGGCAGCCAATCCAGTCAAGGGGTGGTCTACGCCCTAACCAATCACAGCCTGCTGCCAGGCAGGCTCCTTTGCCAGGTGGTTTCTGAAGCCGTTCCTGAGTAACTGACGCTCGCTTGCCAGTGGCCATCTTGGCACGGCTTTCTCATTCTACTGCACTCACCTGCCCTAGCCAGCCCGGGACTCTGCCCTCCCTGGACACTTTGAGGTGCCCTCAGGGGCAGGGGTCTTCTGCACCCGGCCTGCGTCCCCTGGAGCTCTCCTCCTGGGTGGACTTTGCAGGGAGGGGCATTTGGGAAACAGACGGGAGGATTTGACGCCCGCCAGCCCAGTTCCCCTTCCAGGGCTGATGAATCTGGACGGCTTCCCAGCCCTGGGAGACACGGGTCCTGGGAGGGACGCTTAGTCCAGGGACATCAGGGCCGGCCAGGGGAGTGCCCACTCCCGAAGCCGAGGAACCCAGGTGCACCCCACAGAGGGGAAGCTGAGGCCTGCTCTGGAGCCGGGCTGGCTCCCTCCCCAGGACTTGCCAGCTCCTGTCTGAGGTGGGGGACGGAGGGAGGGGCTGCAGAGGCAGGGAGCTTCAGGCCCCGCCCCAGGCACCTGGAGAAGAGGCCAGCAGCTCCCAGCTCCCACCTCTGTCCTTGTCCTGCCTGAGTCCTGGCGGCCAGGGCTGGGGAGAAGGTGGGGCTCACTGCCCTCCCTGCGAGCCTGACTTAGGGTCCGTCCAGCACACCCCACCTGTCTGAGGGGCAGGGGAAGGAAGCAGCAGCTCAGAAACAACCCCGCCTCCCACCCTGCACCCCCAGATCCAGGACCAGTGCCCTGCCCCCGCCTCCCACCCTGCACCCCCAGATCCAGGACCATG